GGTGATCTTGATGGATCAATAAGGACTTTGTAATTTTCATTTTTCAGTTGGTGGACTTATGTTAGATGATTTCAATATTTGTGTATATTTATTGAAGTGTTATATTTTGTGCCATATTCTCACTTTGCTCTTGTGTTGTATAATAATTTTTTTTTTGCGCTGCTTTTATTTGTCAGTGTTTCATTTTTTTAACCTGTTATAGAAATTCCTTTCTCTGCTCTCATCCACAAGATGAAATTCCTTGTGGCCACCATTTCTACAAGGTGAGCGTCTGAACTGGTGGCTTTATTCCGCAAGAAACCCATTTTGGTTTTGCAAAGGGACAAAGAGTAGTTAGAACCCATGGCTTTCTTGCTGCCGAAGGTAGTTGCTGCCTTTTCGCCTCAACCAGAGTATCATTCTTCTATCCCTCTCTACAGATCCAGTTTATTAACCTCCCTGGCGGTATTCCGAGTGTAGCTCGGGGTAAAGTTTCAGTACCACAAGCGGTCACCCCGAACTACACTCAGGAATACACTGCAGCGTTGCTCCGGGATCCCTCCAGCACTTACCTTGTCCTGCGCTCCCGTGATGTTCCTCCTGCAGTGTCCCCGGCCATGTCCTCCGACTGATGCTGGCATCTGTCTTCTGGGTTCCGTTCCCTGCGACGTCGGACGTACGGGGGACGGAACTGGCGGGAAATTCAAAAATGTAAAAATCTGACATTCACTCAATTCACTAAAATCTGATAGTATTACATTACTGTATTTACGAATGTTCTAGATTGTAAGCTCGAAAGAGCAGGGCGCTCGAACCCCTCGTGTATTGTATTGTTACTGTATTGTCTCATGTTATGTCCCCCTCGCTACTGTACAGCGCTGAGCATACCCTTTGGCGCTATATAAATACTGTATAATAATAATAATGTGAAAAATTGAAATTCACTAAAATCACATAGTATTCCATTCCTGTATCAAACCATTTCACATACATTTTGTCCCGAGTGCTTTGTCCGGCGCCCTGCCTGCATTTTTACTGTTCTTTCTGCCTGGAAACTGAGAAACGTCCATGGCGTCCAAAAAGTGTCCCTTTAGGTCAAAAGCGGTTTTAGACCGGCTAGAGAACAGCGATAGTAAATCAGAACCACTTGCAGAATTGAGTGATAATGATTCGTGGGGGAAATTCCTCATCAGACACTGAAAACGATTCTGCGACTTTGCTCAGCGATGTGCGAACTTGGCGCTATATTTCACATTTCAGTGTTTTTGGTTTGATTATATTATTGAATTAAATGTATTATTATTATTATTATTATTTATGATTATTTAATAAATTATAATTTATGATTTCGTGTTCCAAATTTTACCATACCCGGGATGTTTACTAGACTTTTGTTCAGACATATTTTAGTGAGTTATTCCTAAAAATTACAGGCCTACAATAAAAAAAAAATACATATTTCCATGCAAAAAAAGTACCGCTTTGAGCACAGAAATACTGACATAATCAGACCGCTAGGGAGGTTAAAAGAACATTTTCCATCTTTGGATGTGGTTCAGATAGTGTGAATCTGACTCTCAGCCACTGCTTCTTTCAGGAATCCTAATTCCCTTTTTGTAAACCTGGATGGCCCCCATAAGGGTGCATTGCCCACTCTTACCTGCCTTTTATGCAATCCCCACTCATCTCTTTCTCATACTGCCTGCCATCGTACACAGGGCACTCATACCCTCCGCATACTGCCTGCCATCGTACACAGGGCACTCATACCCTCCGCATACTGCCTGCCATCGTACACAGGGCACTCATACCCTCCGCATACTGCCTGCCATCGTACACAGGGCACTCATACCCTCCGCATACTGCCTGCCATCGTACACAGGGCACTCATACCCTCCGCATACTGCCTGCCATCGTACACAGGGCACTCATACCCTCCGCATACTGCCTGCCATCGTACACAGGGCACTCATACCCTCCGCATACTGCCTGCCATCGTACACAGGGCACTCATACCCTCCGCATACTGCCTGCCATCGTACACAGGGCACTCATACCCTCCGCATACTGCCTGCCATCGTACACAGGGCACACTCATTACCCTCCGCATACTGCCTGCCATCGTACACAGGGCACTAATACCCTCCGCATACTGCCTGCCATCGTACACAGGGCACTCATACCCTCCGCATACTGCCTGCCATCGTACACAGGGCACTAATACCCTCCGCATACTGCCTGCCATCGTACACAGGGCACTCATACCCTCCGCATACTGCCTGCCATCGTACACAGGGCACTCATACCCTCCGCATACTGCCTGCCATCGTACACAGGGCACTCATACCCTCCGCATACTGCCTGCCATCGTACACAGGGCACTCATACCCTCCGCATACTGCCTGCCATCGTACACAGGGCACTCATACCCTCCGCATACTGCCTGCCATCGTACACAGGGCACTCATACCCTCCGCATACTGCCTGCCATCGTACACAGGGCACTCATACCCTCCGCATACTGCCTGCCATCGTACACAGGGCACTCATACCCTCCGCATACTGCCTGCCATCGTACACAGGGCACTCATACCCTCCGCATACTGCCTGCCATCGTACACAGGGCACTCATACCCTCCGCATACTGCCTGCCATCGTACACAGGGCACTCATACCCTCCGCATACTGCCTGCCATCGTACACAGGGCACTAATACCCCGTTCGCATAATGCCTGCCATCGTACACAGGGCACTCATACCCTCCGCATACTGCCTGCCATCGTACACAGGGCACTAATACCCTCCGCATACTGCCTGCCATCGTACACAGGGCACTCATACCCTCCGCATACTGCCTGCCATCGTACACAGGGCACTCATACCCTCCGCATACTGCCTGCCATCGTACACAGGGCACTCATACCCTCCGCATACTGCCTGCCATCGTACACAGGGCACTCATACCCTCCGCATACTGCCTGCCATCGTACACAGGGCACTCATACCCTCCGCATACTGCCTGCCATCGTACACAGGGCACTCATACCCTCCGCATACTGCCTGTCACCATACCCAACACACTTTCCTACTGCACATACCACCCACAACCAAAACTCTCCACACTCCTGTACTTACCACCTGCCACCATAGCGTCTACATTCCTGTCCTGAATATACTGCCCCATACTCTCCACACTACTCTATTGCACATTTTACCCATCAAAACAATATGATTTGGAATTTACCCTCTTCATACTCTCTTGGATTGTAAGCTCCAAAGAGCAGGGCCCTCCCGAACCCTCTTGTGTTGAACTGTATTGTCTCCCGTTCTATTGTAAAGCTTTTACATAATTACAGTAAATAAAAAGTGATAATTGTAAGCAACCCTGTCAGTGTTAAATGGATTCCCACATCCCTGTAACTGCAAGAGAGCTTGTTTTGTTGAAAAACAGACTTACTGGCTGGATCACTAGATGGAAATAGAAGAAAGAAAGCCTAAAAAAGAAACTGCATGCAGCCATCACATCTAAGAATTGGCAAGCTGCACTATTATAATTGTTTGCTTTTGGGTTTGATACCGCTTTATGTTTCAACTAAAGAGTCTACGCCATACCTGGCCATACACATGTAGATTTTTTTTCTTTCAGTCTGTGTTCATCCTGAACAAGAGAAATCAGATTCCTCCATCCACACGCTAACCACATGGGTGGATGAATCCCCCCTGTTGGGCGATTGTCAGCACCGCCAGCTGATTGGATGCACCGTTCTGCCAACAGTCTTCTAATGGATTCCTTTGAAGAAAGTTGATTGAACAACTGTCTTTTGTTGAATGGAACAGTGCTAGCAGGGCCATAAACTGATACCTTTCATCCGCGCAAGATGGAACTGGCCGAGATTTGATTAGTGTATAATCAGTAGCTGAAAATATAAGTTCACTTTGAGGAACATGTCACACCCATATTTCACACGACCTCCTGCTCTCTAGCTCACTCATCTCCTCCTCCCATGCTCGTCTCCAGGACTTCTCCAGAGCTTACCCCATCCTCTGGAACTCTCTACCCCAATTTATCAGACTATTCGCCTACTCTGCTCACTTTTAAGCGATCTCTGAAAACCTATCTCTTCAGGGAAGCCTGTCCTGCCCTCCGCTAATAATGGAATAATGGAATCTTCTACTCCTCCTACCAGTCCATCCCCACAGTTACTGCCTTTGTACCACTAGCCCCTCCCTCCTAGATTGTAAGCTCCCAGGATCAGGGCCCTCCTATCCCTCTTGTATTGAACTGTATTGTTGCTGCATTGTCTCCCGTTATATTGTAAAACTGCTGAGCAAACTGGTGGCGCTATATAAATCCTGTATAATAATAATATATAAATCCTGTATAATAATAATAATATATAAATCCTGTATAATAATAATATATAAATCCTGTATAATATAATATTTAAATTCTGTATAATAATAATATATAAATCCTGTATAATAATAATAATATATAAATCCTGTATAATAATATATATAAATCCTGTATAATAATCATAATATATAAATCCTGTATAATAATAATAATATATATAAATCCTGTATAATAATATAATATATAAATCCTGTATAATAATCATAATATATAAATCCTGTATAATAATAATAAATAATAATATATAAATCCTGTATAATAATAATAATATATAAATCCTGAATAATAATAATAATATATAAATCCTGTATAATAATAATAATAATAATATATAAATCCTGTAATAATAATAATATATAAATCCTGTATAATAATATATATATAAATCTTGTATAATAATAATAATAATATATAAATCCTGTATAATAATAATAATAATATATAAATCCTGTATAATAATATACCCAACCTTACTCAAACTTGTTTCTAGTACTGTATACATAATTTTTCTTTCAATACAGCTCCTCATTTTAAACAGTGTTTTATTATTTTAATAATTTGAACGGAATTCTTCAACTTAATAGTGGGGTTTTTTTTCCACTAGGAGATGAAAATGAGCAAATTGCTGAGCTGCATAACAGACGCACCCTATTAGCTGGTTACTGCAAGCTGATTCTGTACAACACTTTGGAGCTGCACTTTGCTAGTGAAGTCTTCAAGTATTATGTTAAGGTGAGAAATCACGGGCCTGTGTTAACAAAGAGCAGTCAGCCAGGATACACACATATATATGTTATGGAAATTTAGAATGCATTAACTTAAAAAAAACTGGTTTAACCACTTCAAGTCCGGACACTTTCACCCCCTTCCTGTCCCCAGGCCAATTTTCAGCTTTCAGCGCTATCTCACTTTGAATGACAATTGCGCGGTCATGCAAGACTGTACCCATATGAATTTTTTAGCATTTTTTTTGAGACCGATAAAGCTTTATTTTGGTGGTATTTATTCACCACTGGGATTTTTATTTTTTTTTACTATATAAATAAAAAGTCCAAAATTTTGAAAAAAAAAGTGTTTTTTCTTTTAAAATTTTGCAAATAAATAATCTTTCTTCATGAATCTTGGCCAAAATGTATTCAGTTATCATTTTAGTAAAAAAAAAATAACCCAAATTAGTTTATAACCAAAAATTAACAATTTTTTTATATTTTCTATTTTATTTTTTTTATTATTTTATTATTTATGGGTTTTTTTTTTTTTTTTTGTTGTTTTATTTTTTTTACATACTGTCCCCCTAGCAGTACAGTGTCACAATAGTGACACTGTACTACTACTTGTGGGGGGGGGGTGATGAAAATTATTTTGTTTTTTACACTGATTGCTTTTACACCCATAAGGCTGTAAAAGCAATAATTTCTCCTTCTCTCTGGCTGCATTCTTGCAGTTATTGAGAAATACTGTGTGAGCTGTGATTGGTCACTCAGCTTGTCACATGGTACAAGGCTGTTCTGAATAGCCTTGTACCATGTGATCTCTGTGATCATTCACAGATCTCACACGTAGTAAGCAATGATGTCAGAAGCGATATCTTGCTTACACCTATTAATGTGATCACTGATTGGCCAATCAGTGATCACATGATCGGGACCTCACACAGAGGTCCCGTACAGCGATCGGTGTTTCACTGTGTCCAGAGGATACAGCGGGTACTGGATCGTGGTGCTCCCAGGGAGCGCGCACGGTCCAAAATGGTGGGCGCCGTTTATGAACGGCAACCCGCCCCTGCACTGCCATCATCTGGCTGTTTATATACAGCACCGGACGGGAAGTGGTTAAACACAAATATTAGAGGGTTTTTGGCTGTTATCTCTGGCTGGTCAGCTGCTGGCCACATTCACATATGAATTGACGGAATTCTAGGTATTTTTGGATGAAAGTGGAACTAAAGTCCAGCAAACGAAAAATCGCCAGGAAGTAGAGTTTTTATGGTTGAATGTCTTTTTTGCCTGAAAATCTTTTCCCTGGTGATGTTTCTTTTCTGTGTATATTGCATGGTCATGGTTCATGCACTGTACATCCCGGCTGTATTCCTTGCATGCCACGAATAGAGTTGGTTGCTGGAGACAATGTAACGCCTGTGTGCTTACATTATCAGTGACTTTCCAGGGGCTGGAGAGAATCGTAATGGGAAATGTAAGGTAGCAGTTTCAGAGATGGCCATGGCAGGGGACTCGGCAATGACCGGATTATGCTGTGCCTACCTGCACACATTATGTTGAAAGCTTTGCCCCATCAAGTCTGCTTTAGGTCTCATGCACACAGGACGTTTATTTAACTCTCCTAGAAGCCAGCAGCGTTTTTGCTGAAAAAAAAATGCCTGACATTTGTAAAAGTGTCTCAAGCTTCTACAGTTTTTTTTTATTAGCTGTTAAAGGCGTCAAGCTCTTGGGTGTTAATTAATTTCCTTGGTCGGAATAAATAGTTTATTCTGGCCATTGAAATGAATTGATGCTCAAGCGCTAAAGGCATTTAGGCGCTTTTATCAGCTTTTAGTAGTGTCAAGCATTTATTCTGCCCAAACTCTGCTGCTCCTGGATGCACTGGATTTCCTGTCTCTAAAAGCTTCTAAAAGTCTATGCGTGCACGGACATATAGAATAACATGGAGAGGCGTTTGGAAGCAGTAATAAAAAAATGCCTGATGCCCCTAAAGGTGGCTACAAACACACCCTGTGGGCATGAAATCTAAACCCCTTCACGCCGGCGCCTCCCGGCCCTTTAAGAGTTTTCAGAAGCCGGGAGACGGGGTGGGTTTGGGATCCTGTGACCGCCGTGATGCGTTGTCACGTTGGTCACATGATCGGGAAAGGTCCCGATTGAAAGAGGAGACCGGGACCTTTCCGTGAGTACCGGACATGTGTGCTGGGAGTGCACAGGGCGCGCGCTCTCGGCACATATGTTTTTTCTTAATAGAACACAAATGTGCGGCCGCTCGGTGTCTTGGCCCAGACACCGGAGGCCGCACATTTGCGTTCGGCCGGCGTGAAGAGGTTAATATAAGTTTATAGACAGGCAGCACAGTGGCTAAATGGTTAGCACTCCCACCTGGCAGTACTACGGTAGTCAGTTGGAATCACAACCATGGCACCACCTGCCTGGAGTTTGCATGTTCTCCCTGTGCCTGCGTGGGTTTCCTCTGGGTACTCCGGTTTCCTTCCACACTCCAAAGACATGCTGGTAGGTTAATTGGCTCCTGTATAAACTGGCCCTAATATGTGAATGTATGAATGTAAGTTAGGGACCAGGGGCGGACTGACAACTCACGGGGCCCCCAGGCAATAGGGGATCAAAGGTACCAGGGGCATCTCATGGGGCCCCCTACTGACCCCGGGCCCTCAATAGGGGATCATGGGGCCCCTGTGTCCTTGCCCAAACTCAAAAAAGCCTATGAAAAAGGTACCAGGGCCATCTCATGGGGCCCCCTACTGACCCAGGGCCCTCAATAGGGGATCATGTGGCCCCTGTGTCCTTGCCCAAACTCAAAAAAGCCTATGAAAAAGGTACCAGGGGCATCTCATGGGGCCCCCTACTGACCCCGGGCCCTCGGGCAGTGCCCAAGTTTCCAAATGGTCAGTCCACCCCTGTTAGGGACCTTAGACTGTACGCCCCTTGAGAGTTAGGGACTGATGTGAATGTGCAATATATATATGTAAAGCGATGAGGTAACTGCCAAAAGCATTAGTGACCTGAAACAGATCTGTGCTGCCATAATAGTTAGAACAATGGTAAGGAATGGGTTTGATTGTCAGATTTCACAAAACGGACATTTTACTCTGGGGTAGATGGATTCTGGAATTGTGGACCACTGACTTGCCTTGTTGGCTTTTTCCCAGCGATTCTCCGTTTGGGTAACTGTAGCTCTTGTAACACTTTCACACATTCAGACAGTTAAACACTCAGATGTGTCCCTTCCGTGCCGACTCTGCGATTAGACATTGCTCTCTTGATGGCAGCTTACATTCAGCAACAAGCTACGGTTTGCTGATCCGGCCAGTGAAGGAAAATCGCACATAAATCAGGTAAGTGTTCAACTTGTGTATGTGTAGCAATCCTAATACAGGCAAGTTTTAGAATCACAAGTGTAATTCTGGGAGGGGGCTTATGTTATGGAAAGTGGCTTACTTACTGGGCTCTTGTACATTCAGCCACTCATAGGATGGTAACTTTCCACATGAAATCTTTTCTTCCTTTCAGTATTATGTTCACTATGGGGACATCATTAAGGAAACCCTTCACAGATCCCGTTCAGTGAGCAGGGAGGAGAGCACCAGGACCATCCTCCTGAGTCTGACCCAGGTATCATGGTTTGTCTTTACTTTCCTCATGTATCTCCCGGTATGTGGGAGTGGTCCTTAACCATTTGCCGCCCGCCCTATGGCCGAATGGCGGCCGGCAAATGTCATCAGCGTTCTGGGTGGACGCCATATGGCGTCCTCCTGCACATGCGCAGATTGCGCTCCTGCAGAGCCGCGCAGTGGCGCGATCTGTCACCGGCCGTGTTCTTCGGACACGGCCGATGACAGATCTGAGTATCGGCCCCCGTTGCCGGTACCATGTGACCTGCTGTGACCAATCACAGCAGGTCACATGACATTGTATACAATGGATGGCTTCATTCATGCCATCCATTGTATACTAGTGTGTAGCTGTGAATGGTCACAGCGATCACATGCACATGTCATGTGATTAGCTGTGGCCAAATCACAGCTAAGCACAAAAAAAAAAAAAAAAAAAAACCCTGAATGAATCGATGTCATTCAGGTAAATGCTTGCTTATAGCAAAGTAATTCTTTGCTATAAGCAAATTGTGTAAAAAAAAAAAAAAAAATAAATACTGATCACTTTCCCAAAGTAGTACAATGTTACTATGGTAACATTGTACTACTTTGGTCATAGTGAAATATGAAAAAAAAAATCTTAAAAAAAGTAAAAAAAAAATAAAAAAAAAAAAAATATATATTCTTTTTTTCATACTGTCACCAGTCAGTGTCCCTGATCACCGCCATGCCAGTTATATGATGACGCTGTACTGCACTGGTGACAATATGTAAAAAAAAAAATAGTGAAACTTTTCTGAAAAATGATGACAAAAAAAAATACAACTTCAAAAAACTCACCATGCCTCTTGTGAAGTACGTCGGACTGTCTACTCTGCAAAAAGGGGTCATTTGGGGGATATCTGTACTGTTCTGACATTTGGGGATATCTGTACTGTCCTGACATTTGGGGATATCTGTACTGTTCTGGGGGATATCTGTACTGTCCTGATATTTGGGGGGGATCTGTACTGTTCTGACATTTGGGGGATATCTGTACTGTCCTGACATTTGGGGGATATCTGTACTGTCCTGACATTTGGGGGATATCTGTACTGTCCTGACATTTGGGGGATATCTGTAGTGTCCTGACATTTGGGGGATATCTGTACTGTCCTGACATTTGGGGGATATCTGTACTGTTCTGACATTTGGGGATATCTGTACTGTCCTGGGGGATATCTGTACTGTCCTGACATTTGGGGGATATCTGTACTGTTCTGACATTTGGGGGATATCTGTACTGTCCTGACATTTGGGGGATATCTGTACTGTTCTGACATTTGGGGATATCTGTACTGTCCTGACATTTGGGGGATACCTGTACTGTCCTGACATTTGGGGGATACCTGTACTGTCCTGACATTTGGGGGATATCTGTACTGTTCTGACATTTGGGGGATATCTGTACTGTCCTGACATTTGGGGGATATCTGTACTGTCCTCACATTTGGGGGATATCTGTACTGTCCTGACATTTGGGGGATATCTGTACTGTTCTGACATTTGGGGGATATCTGTACTGTTCCTGACATTTGGGGGATATCTGTACTGTCCTCACATTTGGGGATATCTGTACTGTTCTGACATTCTTGGACCTCAAGAAATTAGATTGGCTGTCAGTACACTTCAGGATTGATCAATATTCAGATCTATACCATAGTTTGTGAACTCTATAACTTTCCTACAGACTAAATAATACATCCTAATTTGGGTTATTTTCACCAAAGACATGTAGCAGAATACATCTCGGCCTAAATTTATGAAGAACAATTATTTATTTGCAAACTTTTATAACAGAAACAAAGAAAAACGTGTTTTTTTTTTTTTTGTTTTCAAAATTTTTGATGTTTTTTTGTTAATTTAGCAAAAAAATAAAAACCCCAGCGGTGATTAAATACCACCCAAAAGAAAGCTCTAGTTGTGTGAAGAAAATTATAAAATTTTCGTTTGGGTACAATGTTGTATGACCGCGCAAAATTGCCCGGTATTGAATTGGTTAACAGAACAGAAAGATGCAGACAGCAACTAAAATATTGTTTGGGGGGGGGGGGGTCCACCGGTGTGGTGGACATCACATCGGGTGCCGCTGGCGGGGTCACCCCGATGGGATCCTAGAAGAGGACAGCCTTGGTCCTGCTATTTGCCGTCCCCGTCTCCCGATCCCCCTCTCTTCTTATCTTTATTTATCTCTCCAACTGACTTCTCCTTTTTTCTCTTCTTCTATTTTCTCCCCCCCCCCCCCCCCCCCCCCCCCCCCCCCCCCCCCCCACTTTTCGTTTGGATTCATATTCTTGTTTATATGGAACTCGCTCATTTTGTTCCCTACATCTCGTCGAGGATGCCCTCCTTGACACTATATTTATTCATATCTCCGTAATACATGCTATTATGTTATTGATTCTTCCATTTTTCTTTTTTTTGTATGAAACTATTTTCACCTATTCACATGGATCATTTCCACATTTGTGCGATGGCTTTTCTTATGTATGCCTACTTGTACTTGTTTTCATTTTTTCTCATGCCTTGTATTGTTAAACTGTTAAAAATGTAATAAAGACAAATTTGTCTTTAAAATATTGCCAGACATTCCAACCCTCATTCAAATGTGATTTTGTCTTTTCACTGTTGCAGAGATTTCCTATCACTTTCTGTCCTGACAGGTAGCAAGGGGATTTTTTTTTTCCAATTCTAACACAGCACGTTCAGCTGGAGGCTTATGCCGGCCATAGACGGCTTGAAAATCGGCCGAAAAAAAAAGTCGGCCAATTTTCGCACTGTTAGTGGGTTAATTGGTCGGCCGTTTTTTGGGGGTTTTTGCACATTTTTTTTATCGGGCATGTTGGAAAATTTGTGGCCGATTTTGACGATCGGCCGTTTTTCCCGGCAATGATGAGCAAATCGGCTGATTGTTTTACTGATAAAAAATCTGCTCATGAGCCGTGACCTGGAAGGAGAAGGAGAAGAAGACCAGTCCGCTATTATATTTTATATGAAAAAGTCTTGCGGTTGCAACCAGGGGCGGACTGACAACTCATGGGGCCCCCGGGCAATAGGGGATCATGGGGCCCCTGTGTCCTTGCCCAAACTCAAAAAAGCCTATGAAAAAGGTACCAAGGGCATCTTATTGGGCCCCCTACTGACCCCGGGCCCTCGGGCAGTGCCCGAGTTTCCAAATGGTTGGTCCGCCCCTGGTTGCAACAAATAAAAACATCTGTATCCAAATAAAAACATTGTAATCCAAATAATGTATTTGTATTGATGTCACATTGTATGGTGTGCTCCCCTGTCTCTGCAAGGGGCAGAAGTTATGGGGTTAATGCCGGCCGTAGATGGGTCGAAAATCGGCCAATTTTTTTAACGGTGGTAATGACAACCGATCGAACGATCGATTTCTCGTTTTTTTTTTTTTTTTTTTTTTTTTGAATCGGCCTATGTTCGACCTATTTATGGCCTGCATTAGCCTTTTCCAAAGCTGTACAAGACTAAATAAAAAGGTTTGACTGGACCTGGGGTTTAAAACAAGTCATGGTAGTTCGAAGTTGGCCAATCAGTGATCACATGATCGGGACCTCGTACAGGGGTCCCGTCCAACGATCGGTGTTTCACTGTGTCCGGAGGACACAGTGGGCACCGGATCGCGGTGCTGCGTGCTCCCAGGAAGCGCACACAGCTAGAAAAGGCGGGTGCCGTTTATGAACGGCAACCCGCCCCTGGAGTGCCACCGCCCTGCCGTTTATAAACAGCAGGCAGATGGCAAGTGGTTAATGGCACCGGAAACATGTCTTCTGGTGTGAATGGACTCTAATGTAGGCTAGATGGGTCGAAAATCGGCCGATTTTTTTGGCCGAAAAAAAAAATCGGCCGATTTTCGCACCGTTAATGGATTAATTGGTCAGCCCTTTTTCTGGATTTTGTCTGATTTTTTGGATCGGTAAACTTGGAAATTTTTGCCGATCGGCCGATTTTTAGCGGCAATGATGGGCAAATCGGCCGATCTTTTTACCGATAAAAAATCTGCGCATGAGCCGTGACCTGCAAGAAAAAGAGGAAGAAGAGGAGAAAGAAGAAGAGGAAGAAGAAGAAGAGAAAAAGAAGAAGAAGAAGAATTCCAGTCCGCTATTATATTTGACATTAAAAAGTATTGCGGTTGCAACAATGTATCTATTTGTATCCGGAAAAAAACATCTGTATCCGAAATGGATACAAATAGATACAATGTTACAACCGCAATACTTTTTAATGTCAAATATAATAGCGGGGCTCTCTGCAAGGGACAGAAGTAATTAAATGCCGGCCGTAGACGGGAAGAAAATCGGCCGATTTTTTTTTTTTTACTGTTGGTAACGTCGGCCTATTGAACAACCGATTTTTCATTTTTTTGTTAAAAAAACGGCCGGTTTTCTCCCCGTCTATGGCCTGCATTAGGCAATCTCTGTAACCTCATCTCTTCTGTGAAGCCTCTGCCTAAAAAAACTGAACATCTCCATCAACTTAACTCTTCAGTTACTCTTTTTTGTATCTCTCGTCTCTCGCTTTCGATTATAAGTTCTCTTCTTTTCTTGCAATGTATTGCAACTGAATTGGCTCTCTTTATTTTTTAAAGCATGCACAAACTGTTGGCTCCATACAAATCCTTTGTTATAATAATTGTTCAAATGTTCTTTTCTAAGTGCTTAGCATCACCAATGCAATGTCTATTGGTATCTAATGATATATTAAAATCTCAAATACAATAAAATATTAATGTAATAAGTTGCGAATGTAAAATTTTGTGTTTCATGTCAGTGTAGAGAGTTAGACAACCATACAGATTGGAAAAGATGGGTAGCAAGCAGCAGGTTTTACATGGCAACATCTGCAAGACCATCTGTTCACGAAGGCCTTCCACCCTAAGCAGCTCTGGGAAATAGATTTCTCAGCACAGGATAATTTAATGAACTGTCTCAGATCTGACAGTTCAGGAACAGACTGAGCCTGTCTGCTGCTCAGCTACCTTGCTTGGGGAGATAATGCTGTAGCTGCAGAAACCTTCCCAAAGGTGATTTGCAACAAAGGTTTTTGTGGAGCTTCTTTAACCACTTGCCCTCCAGAAGATGTACCCCCCCCCCCCCCTTCCTGATCAGGCTATTTTTTTTTTTTTTTGCGATACGGCACTGTGTTACTTTAACTGACAATTACGCGGTCATGCAACACTGTACATAAATGTAATTTCTGTCCTTTTTTCCCCACAAATAAAGATTTCTTTCGGTGGTATTTTATCACCTCTGCGTTTATTTTCTGTGCTATAAACAAAATACTGACAATTTTGGAAGAAAATTTTTTTTTTTTACTTTTTGCTATAAAACATTTAAAAAATAAAATTTCTTCATAAAATTAGGCCAAAATGTATTCTGCTCCATGTCTTTGCTAGAAAAAAAAAATCCCAATACGTGTAAATTAATTGGTTTATGTGAAAGTTAAAGAGTTTACAAGTGGCGGTATATATAATGAAATTTTTATTTATTTATTTTTGTACTAGTAAATGGCGGCGATCAGCGACTTATAGCGGGATTGCGGCGGGCATTCTGACACTGGGTGAGAACTAACTAACTCCCACTGACATCCCTATGACACTCATAAAGTGATCAGTGCTAATTAAAAGCACTGACACTGAGCAGGAAGGGGTTAACATCTGGTGTGATCAAAGGGTCAACTGTGTGCTGTGCTGTGTTTTACATCAACACTTTGATGCACTTTGCTTCTGACTGCTAGTCTTATTAAATTAGCAGTTAGATTTGGTGATGGCACCTAATATACAGCTCACTGTTCTCCTTTCTGGAGAGGAAGCCCTAGCTAAGGGTCTGTAGTGCAGGGATCTCCCTGCTTCTGCTTTATTAATGTGTTTTACTAGGGAATCATGATGCTGTGTATTTCTGCTGCTGTGCAGAGAAATACAAAGCAGCATGTCCTTGCTGGCAGGAGAGAACTGTGACTGATGTGAATGTACAATATATAAATACAAAAAATAGTATTAGCGCTGCACTATTTTTTGTATTTTTTATGTTCTTTCCTTGTGGTTGAGGCGAGTTTGTGCTGCTTATTAATAGGTGTTCCATTGAGCGCAGGAGTTTTTTTCATTATCTAGGAATGTACAATATATATGTGTAAAGAGCTGCGTAAATTGACGGCGCTATATAAATACCTGAAAATAAAATAATTTACACGCAGGTCTCTCCCCTGTCAGTTTTGCTCGGCGATCGCTGGGTGCCGGCGGGAAATCTCCAGCCGGGGACCCAGTGATTGACATCTGTAGCCGCCAATGGCGGAGCGGGTAGGGTGGTGCGCACACGCCCCCTACCCGGAAATGCAAATCACGTGTACATATATGTGATTTTGCACAGCCCTGCCTCTCTGTAGCAGTAGTTCTACTATAGGGTGGTGGGCAAGTGGTTGAAGCTACACAGATCCGTTATAATCACCTTTAATTACAGGATCAGTCCGCTTAAGAATGAGTTGCACATCTCTTAAAAAAAAAAAAAAAAAAAAAAAAAAAAAAAAAAAAGAACCACAGATACAAAGTTACAAGATGGGTTGTTAAAGGGGAAGCCAGAAATAAATGAAACATTACATGATTGTCATCTTAAAACATTTTTTTTAATCAATTTTATTTAACAAATCTGTAGTTTAGAAAAATCATTTAGAAAAAATTAATCTTTCATGGTCAGATATGAACACAAAGGTTTGTACTGAACATTTCTTTTTCTGTCAGTCATATACAGGGTTCCTTTTAGAGGAGGATTCTCCCGACAGGCGCTTTGCACCTTCTTTCCTTGAGATTCGTGATCTTGCAAGACGATTCGCACTTCTGCTGGGGCCGGATCAGTTGAGAAATCGTCAGGATATAATACTTCTACACAAGTGAGAGCGACAGCTATACTTTTACTGCTGATTTCCATTTGCCGTTGACAGGAAGCTACTTAGAATGCAGATTCCAGATGCTAGCATGTGAATATTTCCAACTCCTAATGATGTGTAGGAATAATATAAAAGCATGCCCAGGAAATTGGGAAGGGGGATAACAAACAATTGCCAGGGTAACGGTAATGACGGGTTATGTGTGTTTGACTTACTGCTCGTTTTCACACGGATTACACTGTTCCCCACACCTGCCAGTCACTATTACACATCAGTAATAAAGTGTAGTGTAGGGGGAACATGACCCAGCATGGTGCAGAGAAAAAATATGTGCAAGAATAATGTGCACCTCAACTCAAAAAAGGAAAGATTTTCTGTCTGGAAATGTTGCTTGTTGCTAAGCAGTACCCTGAAAATTCTACCTTTTTGCCTTTAACCCCTCACCTACCGGGCACTTACACCCCCTTCCTGCCCAGGCAAATTTCCAGCTTTCAGCGCTGTTGCACTTTGAATTACAATAGCGCGGTCATGCAACACTGTACAAATATGACATTATTATCATTTTTTTTTTGTGACAGATAGAGCTTTATTTTGGTGGTATTTAATCACCTCTGGGATTTTTATTTTTTCTTAAACCAAAAACCACTGAAAATTTGGGAAAAAAAACATTTTGTTATAAAATTTTGTAAATAAGTGGTTTTTCTCCTTCACTGGTGTGCTAATGAGGCTGCAGTGGTGGGCACTGATAGGCTGCACTGATGGACACTGATATGTGGCACTGATGGGCACTGTTGAGGAGGCACTGGTAGGTGGCACTGATGGGCATTGACAGGCATCACTGATGGACACTGAAAGGCAGCACTCATATATGGCACTGATAGGCGGCACTGACTGGCACTGTTAGGTGGCACTGACTGGCACTGATAGGCGGCACTAACGGGCACTGATAGGTGGCACTGAAAGGCAGCTCAGATGGGCACTGATATGTGGAATTGATGGCACTGTTAGGTGGCACTGACTGGCACTGTTAGGCGGCACTGACTGGCACTGATAGGCGGCACTGATTGGCAGCACTGATAGGTGGGACTTACTGGCATTGATAGGTGGCACTGACTGGCACTGATGGGTGACACTGAAAGGCAGCACAGATGGGCACTGATATGTGGCATTGATGTGGCACTGATGGGCACTGGCAGGTGGCATAGATGAGCACTGAGAGCTGGCACTGATGGACACTGACAGGCGGCACTGCTGGGGCTACACAGATCATCAGGGCACACTGCTCATCAGTGCTCTGATAATCTGTGTACATGTCCCCTCCGAGGAATGCCGATTACCGGCTCTCCTCTCCTCTGTCAGCATGATAGCTCGTGGGGAGAGAAATGCCGATAACTGGCATTTCCCTGTTTACATGTGATCAGCTGTGATTGGACACAGCTGATCACATGACCAAGCCGACATCTTCGGCTCTTTCCGTGGATCGGTGATCTGCTGTGTCCGAGGGACACAGCGCACCGCCGTTCGCCGCGCTCCAGGAGCCACGCATGCGTGGTTAGAATGGGAGGACGTCATATGACGTCATATGACGTCTTCCCAGAACGAGAGAACCACCTTCCGTCCCTCATATTACTATATGGGCGGGCGGGAGGCGGTTAAAGTTCCCAAAAAAAAAAAGATTTACATTTTTTGTGCTTGCAGCCTCATAGCTGTATATCTCTAGTGTGAATCTGCAGCACTTTGCTTCTGGCTGCTATTCTTTTTAAATTAGCAGTTCGATTTGGTGATGACTCCTAATATACTGCTCACTGTTCTCCTTTCTGGAGAGGAAGCCCTAGCTAAGGACCTGTAGTGCAAGGATCTCCCTGCTTCTGCTTTATTAATTCTGTGGATCTTTTCTTCCTCCACCTCTCTTGCTTCTTCTTGATCATTGCGCTACCTACCAGTCATCTGGTGGGGGTAGGATCTGACGTAGGGAAGCAAAGCCCTGTCTCTACCAAGATGGCCACTTCCACACAGAAACTGGAACAAGACATGGTTTGTCAGTAACGGGGAAAAATATCAGATGTATGGAGCCTACATACAATACTGGTGATGTTTCCACTGCCCCCTGATTGCCTTTTTTGGTTTAAACTTCCACAGTTGAAAATGCTCAATAACAGATTAAAAAAAAAAAAAAAACTACTTCCACAGTTCCGGCTGTCTTTAAGGGATGTAGGGGGCAGCAATGAGCAGACGTAGTATCAGAATACATGCATCTGGTTCATTCTGTTGCCTTTCATTAAGACCATTGAATGAAATTGTATTGAACAAGAAAATTTTTTTTTTCTGGCAGAGGCCTTGTATACCTCTAACGTATGCCTAACATCTATGACACTGACTTGTACATTGTAAATCTGCAGATTAAAATTATGGATGGAGCCTATCACATTTATTGGCTATTTATTTGTAGATGCCAAAATCTATCGCCTATAGATCCTTTGCTGAAAAGGAGGAGGAAAAAGAAGCTTTTAGGCCAGGGGTGGGCAACTACGGCCCTCCAGCTGTTGTAGAACTACAAGTCCCATGAGGCATTGCAAAACTGACAGTTACAAGCATGACTCCCAAAGGCAGATGCATGATGGGACTTGTAGTTCACCAACAGCTGGAGGGCCACAGTTGCCCACCCCTGTCTTAGGCCTATTTTTTCATTTATTAAGACTTTTTTTTTTTTTTTTTGCATTTCTGAGAGTGACTTTGAGCTTTTGGAAATATTTTTGCCTCTTTTTTGGTGATTGACTAGAATGGCAGGTGAGTGAAAGATATGTGCTGCTGGGCAACGGGACTAGAAATGTGAACAAAGTTCAGGCTCACTTTAAAAGCTGATCTTCAGGCAGATATAATGAAACAACTTTCTTGTCAGTTGAGGGACATGGTAAGTCTTAAACCTTCAGATTATTCTGACATCTACAGGAGAATTGGACACTGTCCATCAGAAAAATATTTGTCCAGCCAGGGATAACCCCCTTATACTACCAGCATGCTTCAGTTTTGTTGCTTGTGTCCCAAGACCATGGATAAGTACCTTTTAACAACTCAGAGTCCTTTTAACCACATCCCGTCCGGCCGTTGTATATAAACGGCCAGACGGTGGCAGTGCAGGGGCTGGTGGCCGTTTATAAACGGCCTTCCCACTCCCTGCTTGTGCGCGCTCCCTGGGAGCGATCCGATGCCCGCTGTGTCTAGGGAAGAAGAAATCCTGTACAGCAGGGCTGGCCAAGCACAGAGTAGGCACGGTGCTACAGCCGTCTGCTCAGACAAATACTGTATGACTACAGGAAGGATGAATACTAGGGGAACATGGGGTCAGGAAAGACTGGGAAATCCACTACACAGTCTTCCGATCTTATTAACCACTTCCCGTCCGGCTGTTGTTTATAAACGGCCGGATGGTGGCAGTGCAGGGTCGGGTGGTCGTTTATAAACGGCCTCCCCGCCCTCTGCTTGTGGGAGCACACAGCACCGCGATCCGGTGCCCGCTGTGTCCTCCGGACACAGTGGAACACTGATCGTTGTATGGGACCTCTGTGCAAGGTCCTGATCATGTGATCACTGATTGCCCAATCAGTGATCACATGCAGAGTAGTAAGCAAGATGTCACTTCTGACATCATTGCTTACTATGTGTGAAATCTGTGAATGATCACAGAGGTCACATGGTACAGGGCTATTCACAACAGTCTTGTACCATGTGACAAGCTGTGACCAATCACAGCTCACACAGTATTTCTCAATGGCTGCAAAAATGCAGCCAGAGAGAAGGAGAAATGATTGCTTTTACAGCCTTTATGGGTGTAAAAGCAATCAGTGTAAAAAAATAAAAAATCTTCATCACCCCACACAAGTAGTACAGAGTCACCATGGTGACACTGCACTGCTAGGGTGACAGTATGTAAAAAAATTAATAAAAAAAAATGTAAAAAAAAAATTTTTTAATTAGAATTTTTGATTATAAACGAATTTGGATTTTTTTTTTATTGCTAAAAAGATAACTGAATAACTTTTAGCCAAGATTTATGATGGAATATTATTTATTTGCAAAATTTTATAAGAAAAACACTTTTTTTCTAAATTTTTGGACTTTTTCATTTATATAGCAAAAAAAAATGAAAATCCCAGTGGTGAATAAATACCACCAAAATAAAGCTTTATCTGTCTCAAAAAAATGCTAAAAAATTAATTTGGGTACAGTGTTGCATGACCGTGCAATTGTCATTCAAAGTGTGACAGCGCTGAAAGCTGAAAATTGGCCTGGGCAGGAAGGGGGTGAAAGTGTCCGGACATGAAGTGGTTAACAACAAGAGTCATCTCCAAGAGGTCGCTTCGCATTCTCACAGCTGCCCAACAAAGTTGTCCTCAGTCTTTTCTTTTGGTTTTACCCAGACCCTGCTGGATCGGACATCACGAGGTGAGCCTTAATATGACTCTTGGACACTTGGCACCTCTTAAGACCAGTTCTGGCTAAGTTAACTGCAGTTTGTTTCCAGGTGCAGAGCTGTTGGCATCACCTTTGTGTTTGCCCTTGTCTATTGTGCTCTGTCTCTGAAGACTTTCTGTCTCTGGATTGGGCTACTCGGGCTGGGCACGAGGGCGCCTCTTCTGAATTCCTCCCAGCTTTCCATGACGGGTTAATGCGGTAGGTAGGAGTGCTGGTCGTACCAATGTGTGGAATGCCACATGTGCATTCTGTGGCCTCTTTTCGGCAGACAGCATTGAGGAGGTATCTCCCCGCTGCTGCATCTTCTGCTGAGAGCCACGTAGAACTCTGATTCCAGATGCATTGCTGCTGCCCGCCTTCCTTGTCACCTCCAGCCACTTGACCCTCCAGTCTTGAGTATTTTCTGCTGCCCATGTTCTGTGAGTACTTAAGGCTTAGCCTCCTACCTTGGGCCTGTACAATTTGTTCACCGGTGTTGGCTGTAACACGTTTGATTCTAGACATGGGGGGGGGGGGGGGTAAGACAGCGGTACTTCCTTGCACACTACTCATTGTTGCTCGTCCCTTGATAGTGCCAGTGCCTGGCTCTGTCAGGTATTGCTGGCCCACCTCTTCTCCCATTGAGGAGGTTATTATTACAGTCATACAAACTTTTATGCGTCAAACTGCCCAGCTTAGCTCTGACCCTGACCGCAGGGGCCCAAACACGCTACCTTCCCCTACCCTGCATGTCCAGATGTTGCAGAGGTTCAGAAGTCATTACTGACTCCGACCCATCACTTGGAATATCTGGGTCTGGTTCTTGACAATTCCCAAGCCAAAATATTTGTTCCTCAGAAGAAACTTCAGACTCACAGGTCTTAACTTTATGTGCTGCAATCCAGGAGCTGTCCGACTCTCCACTTCTGCATAAGAGTTTTGAGTGGTTTTATATTACCCTGGATTGGCCCAGGATAGCATGATACACTGATCTGGTGTCCGTGTATCATGACTTCCCGTAAATGTACCATGGGCGCTGCCAGACCTTGTCCAAAGGACTGATCTACCACAGTTTATCTCAAGTCATCTCAGCCTGGCTGTTGAAACTTGGGCTCTGGGGAATATCCCTATGATGCTCAATTCTATAAAGTCTACTTCTTGCGAGGTCTGCCATCGGAAGGCATGCTTTGTTTGGTGTGGCTGAAGGCTTTCATTTCATTAGTTCCTTTTGCGATCCTTTCTTTCCTGCAGTTGGTCTGGACCACTCTTTAGCCCTTAGTGCCATTGAGGACCAGATTCCTGCTCATGTGTCATTCCTTTCCAAAGACAGTTGGGTTTCCCATTCTCTAATCAAGACCTTTGTGCAAGAGGCTTCCTATGTGGCCCCCCCCCCTTGTGATCTACTTCTGTGGAATTTGATTTTGGTGCTTCATAACCTCTTTTTCCACCTTGCAGAGGCATTCTTCACTATCTATGATGACCAAAAAAAGCATTTTTTCCTTTTTGCTATCACCTCTGCTAGAGGATTGTCTGAACCACCTGCTTTATCAGCATGAAACCCTTTTGGTTCTGCACAGGTGAAAGGTGGTTCTAAGACCTAGGACATTTCTCCTTCAAAGGTGATCTTTGGCATTCACCTTAATCTGGGCATGTGTTCCCTCCTCTTTTTTTGATCAGCTGTGGTTCACACCAGAAGGAGATTTCTTTCCATATATATTATAACTGTTCAAATGTCTCTCTGCATGCTGCTTCTTCATTACTCAAGTCAGATTGGTTTTTGCCATTGTTCTCTGATTTCTTGGTGGCTCTGGCAGACCATGGTGCAAGCTTTTTGGTTTTAAGGATGTTCTCTTTTTCCATTCAAGTATAACTCCACCAGGGTTGTGTTTTTTGGGCGTTTTGGCATTAGGCCTCATTTTGTTTTTTTAAAGAGTGTAACGCTGCCCCCGATCTTCTATTTATAAGTTCAACAAATGTCCACAAAGCATGGACATTTCAGCCTCCTCTGATGCCTAATTCAGTTGTAAGATCCCTCAGGTGGATCTATGAGCTTCAGGCTCTCCTCAGTGCCTTTTGTTGTTTTTATTGGACTAGCAAGTGTTTGTTTGCTGTGTTGCCACCTTCCCCCTTCCATCCCCTTCAGTTGGGTGGCTTTTGGATGTCCAAAATATTTAAGAATTCGTGTGTTCCTCAGTGGAGAAAATATAACTTTTGTACTCAACATAAAATCCTTTTCTTGGAGATCATTGAGGGGCACACATCCCACCTCTCTGTGTGTATGATGATGCTCTTGGTACAAAATTAAGGCATGGTGGTAATAGGAGTGGTGTTCCAGGCCGGGCTACAGTTTTGTGTTTTTTTTTGCCAGTGACCATTTCTCCTGTAGGCAGTAGTATTAGCCAAAGGTCACTAAACCCACAACAGTAAAATCAGTCTGTAAATGCATTAAGGCATGCTGGTTATAGTCACTGTGGAACTTAAGGGGTTAATCCTCCACATTGTGTAAAAAGGCTGTTTGATCCTGTCTTCTCTGATCCTCCCTTCTACTGTCTCCAATCTATCTGCTCATAGAACCGAGCCTTGGGACAAGTTTGCACATGCTCAATTTGGTGCGTATTGCTAGAGAGTCTTTTGTATTACTTGGGAGAGTGCATGTGATCAGCACAGGGCCAATCAGCGCTGTCCAGACAGAGGGTCAGGTGTTGTGCAGCCTCATAGGACAATCAGGGGAGAATGAAAACTCTTCCTACAAGCTTTAGCCAGTGCTCTGCTGGACACTGATAAAAGTCACAAGACTAATCTAACTGCTGATGAGAAAAGGTATTTAGCAGTTTGTAATTTACTAAAATAATTGCATTTCCGGTTCTGTTTACTGTGGGAGGTGACCAGATATATGCAGGTCCTGGGAGACCAGATATTGGGAATGCAGGGTCCTGGGAGACCAGATATAGTGAATTGCAGGTCCTGGGAGAACCAGATATAGTGAATGCAGGGTCCTGGGAGACCAGATATAGTGAATGCAGGTCCCGGGAGACCGGATATAGTGAATTCAGGGTCCTGGGAGACCAGATATAGTGAATGCAGGGTCCTGGGAGACCAGATATAGTGAATGCAGGGTCCTGGGAGAGCAGATATTGGGAATGCAGGGTCCTGGAGACCGGATATAGTGAATGCAGGGTCCGGGGAGACCGGATATAGTGAATGCAGGGTCCGGGGAGACCGGATATAGTGAATGCAGGGGTCCGGGGAGACCGATATAGTGAATGCAGGGTCTGGGAGACCGGATATAGTGAATGCAGGGTCGTGGGGATCTAGTAACACTTTAAGACTCCCTTTGTCTTCAGAGGAATCTGAAAACACACATATATATATATATATATATATATATATTTGTTAAAATAAAGCTATAATACATATTCTATTTTTATTTTGACTTTCCATAATTCTCTGCATCAGACATAATATAGTTTATCAGCCATGCATAGATGTTGAAGGTGTAGCACTGCAGGACTAATGAGCAGTTATGGCTTTTTTGAATATATATTTATTGTGAATATTACACAGACCCACATCTTGTCGGAAGATAAGCAGTGAAAAATGAGCAACATAAACAGACATATGAAAGAGGTCTTGGAGAATAATGAGTAATTATGAACTTGCTACTTGTGTTCATTGTAAATTTACAACATTAAAGTGGAACGTAACTCATTGTGGTGGGGAATCTCTCACTCTCCATAAAATTGTATCTTGACTGTAATAATGAATGTTAAAGGGTGTTTTATACATCTGCCTGGAATCCTTTAAAGCGTGTGTAAAGAAACCTTTCATTTCACTTTGGAATGAGCAGAGAAAGGGTAGATATATCTAGAGGGAATATCCAGAGTATTTGCATTTTTAACAGAACTGGAATGGAGCAGAACTTTCCTATGGGGTATACTTTGTCCAGATGATTGTTTAAAGGGGGATTTCCCCTCAATTTGAAAATATTATCTTTTTCTTTATGTAGTGGTCTGCAAGGACAGGAAGTGAAGGGAAAATTGCTGAAATGGGGACAAAAAAAAAGCTGACGGGTTTTGACCAATTCCGCTACTCTACTCAACATAATGAAATAAAATTGGCTTTAGATAGATGCTACTTTATTTCTTTCATGGATTAGGATGTGCGGAAACAAAAATATTTGATGATATAACCTTTATGTAGTACACCACTCATGATGCCTTTTCTCTGATGTACTTTTTTTCTAGAGAGGTATTAAAGTTCTCTCTTCGATCCTCCAGCAGATACTGACTACAGGTCTTCCCAGAAACCTGCTGTTCCTTGATGTGCTGAGCGAAATTTTCACCACCAAAACTTCTTAAGCAGGCCAAAAAAGGCTGTGTGAGTAAATTTTACTTTATTTACAAAGAAAATCGCCATTATGCTGGTAAATGTGCTTTGCACAAACTGATCTACTCCTCCGTCCCGAACACTGCCATCTTCTCTAGCAGTCCATACCGTGAATGTTTGTGTCAGGGCTTCCAGGTATGACCAGAGGTGTGTGGACTAGACACAGGAAAACACGCAGAGCTCTCATGTATAGTGTAAATAGACAATTTTATTAAGACTAAAACAACACAAACGCCCGTGCAAGGGTAAACTTTAAACACAGTGCAAAAAACCCCAAAACCCAACAGATAACCATATATAAAAAATCAACGTAGGGGGGCCCGGCCGGGTCGGTAGAAAACGGGCAAACGGGGTTTTCCCAGGGGGGACGGGGAAGTTGGTCGGGGAATAGCCGGGGCCCGGACAGGCGGAGTTCACTCAGAGTCAGGATAAAAACCCAAGAATCAGGGATCAACGGGAAAAGAAAGCGGATGAAAGTACGGGGGCTCAGGGGAAAACATACACCAAGGCACTGCCCTGAAAGGTTTGGGCCCCTTTCCCAAAAATTTACACCACCTGCAATCACCCCCAGGTGTTGGTGATTGCAGGAAGGACTTCGGGCCCTGCTGAAAAGACCCGCTTTTCACCCGGTATTTGCAGCCCACCCGGCAGGTGAGTCCCACCCCCAGTGCGGGTTTCCCCCCACCATTGCTGAGTCCTTTCCTGAAAGTTTTTTAAGTAGAATCTTCAGTTTTTTGGGCCCTCTTTCAGTCATGAAAAATTTCCCATTTTTTGCAAAAATGCTTTTACTTTAACCTTTTCTTTTTTTTGGTTTTAAAACTATTTTCACTACCGGGAATCTCTTTGGCAAAAGATAACAAGTAGCACTCGTAGGTTTTTTAAAGTTAGGTTCAAAACCTATGGGGTTTGGCTTTTTGAGGCATTTCTGCATTGCATTTTCATTTTTCCCCCTTTTTTTTTTAAAATTTTTTTTCCCTTTTTTTTTTTTTTTTTTTTGGGGGAAAAAAAAAAAAAAAAAAAAGGGAGCAAAAAGCACTTAAAATGCTTTTGAAGCGTTCCCCTTAAAATATAAAAAAAAAGGGAACGTTTTGCGTTCAAAAAAGTCCCGGGCCCTTTCCAAAAAAAAAACCCCCCCAAAAAAAAAATTTGGGGGGGTTTTTTTTTTTTTTTTAAAAAACAAAATGGATAAAAAAAAATTTTGGTTTTGAACCTGGGGGGCTCATGTACCCCAAAAAAAAATTTAGGAGCTGTTCATTTTTTTTCCCCCCCCCAAAAATCCTTTTTTTCCCATTTCCCCTTTCCCCCCTTTTTTTGGCATTTGGGGTTTACAGTCATTTTTTTAAAAAAAATTTTTTTTTTTTTTGGGAAAAAAAAAAATTTTTAAAGGGAAAGGGGTTTTTTGGTTTTTTTTTAAACCCCCCCCCCCCCCCAAAAATTTTTTTAAAATTTTTTTAAAAACCAAAAAATTTAAAAAACCAAATTTTCCCGGGAAAAAGGTTTAAAATTTTTAAATTTTTTCCCCCCCCTTTTTCCCCCCCCCCCTTTTTTTTAAAAAAAAATTTTTTAAAAAACCCCCCAAAAAAAACCCCCCCCCCAAAAAAAACCCCCCAAAAAAAAAGGGGAAAAAAAATTTTTTTTTTAAAACCCCCCAACCCCCCCCCCCCCATTTCCCCCCCCCAAAAAAAAAAAAAAAACCCCCAAAAAAAATAAGAAAAAAACCAAAACCCCCCTTTTTTTTAAAACCCTTTTTTTTTTTCCCCCCCCCTTTTTTTTTTTTTTAAAAAAAAATTTTTTTCCCAATTTTTTTTTTTTTTAAAAAAGGGAAAAAAAAAAACTTTTCCCAAAAAATTTTTTTTCCCCAAAACCCCCAAAAAAATTTTTTTTTTTCCCCCCCCCCTTTTTTTTGGGGGGGGGGGGGGAAAAGGGGGGGGGGGGGTTTTTTTTTGGGGTTTTTTTTTTGGGGGTTTTAAAAAAAAATTTTTTTTTTTTTTTTGGGGGTTTTTTTAAAAATTTTTTTTTTTTGGGGGGGTTTTTAATCCCCCTTTTTTTTTTTGGGGAAAAACCCCAAAAATTTTTTAAAAAAAAAAAAAAAAAATTTTCCCCCAAAAAAAAAAAATTTTTAAAAAAAAAAAAGGGGCCCCCCTTGGGGGGGGGCCCCCCCCTTTAAAACCTTTTTTTAAAAAAAAAAAAAAAATTGGTTTTTTTTTTAAAAAAAATTTTTAAAAAGGCCCTTTTTCCCCCCCCCTTCCTTTTTTAAATTTTCCCCCAAAACCCCTTTTTTTTTATTCCTTTTTTTTTTTGGTTTTTTTAAAAATTTTTTTTTTTTTTAAAAAAAAATTTTTTTTTTTTTAAAAAAAAAAAAAAAATTTTTTCAACCCCAAAAAAAAAACCCCCCCTTTTTTTTTTCCCCCAAAAAAAACCCCCCCCCTTAAAAGGGGGGAAAAAAAAAAAAAAATTTTTTTTTTTTTTTAGGGGGGGGTTTTTTTTTTTTTTTTCCCCCCCCCCAAAAAAAAAGGGGGGACCTTTCCCAAAAGGGGGGAAAAAGGGTTTTTTTGGTTAAGGGGGCCCCCCCCCTTTTTTTTTAATTTCCCCCGGGGGGGGCCTTTTCCCTTTTTTTTTTTTTGGTTTTTTTTTCCCCCCCCCCCGGGCCCCCCGGGGGAAAAGGGGGGGGGTTTTCCCGGGGGCCCCCCCCCCCTTTTGGGTTTTTGGGGGGGGGGGGGGTTTTTGGGGGGGGAAAAAAATTTTTTTTTTGGGGGTTTTTTTTTTTTTCCCCCCGGAAAAAAAAAAATTTTTAAAAAAGGGAATGGAAATTTTTTTTTGGGGGGGGGGGGGGCCCCCCCCCCCCCCGGGGGGGGGGGGGGGGCCCTTTTTTTTTTTTGGGGGGGGAAAAAAAGGGGGGGGAAAAAAATTTTTTTTTTTTGGGGGGTTTTTTTTTTTTGGGGGGTTTTTTTTTTTTTTTTTTTTAAAAAAAAAAAAAAAATTTTTAAAAAAAAAAAGGGGGGTTTTTTTTTGGGGTTTTTTTTTTTTTTGGGGGAAAAAAACCCCCTTTTTGGGGGAAAAAACCCCCCAAAAAGGGTTTTTTTTTTTAAAAAAAAATTTTTTTTTTCCCCGGGTTTTTTAAAAAAAAAAGGGGGGGGGGGAAAAACCCCCGAAAGGCCAAAGGGTTTTCAATTTTTTTTTTCCCCCCTTTTTTTGGGGGGAAAATTTTTTTTTTTTTTTTGCCCTTTAAAAAAAAATTTTAAGGAAAAAAAAATTTTTTTTTTTTTTTTTTTTTAAAAACAAAAGTTAAAAAAATTTTTAAAAAAAAATTTTTTTTTTTTTTTTTAAAAAAAAAAAGGGGGGGTTTTTTTCCTAAATTCCGGGGTTTAAAAAGGGGGCCCTTTTTTTTTTTTTTAAAAAAAAATTTTTTTTTTTTTGGGGGAAAAAGGGGGGGTTTTTTTAAAAGTTTCTTTTTTGGGTTTTTTGGGGGGGTTTTTTTTTTTTTTTTTTTTTTTTTTTTCCCCCAAACCCCCTTTTTTTTTTTAAAAAAATTTTTTTTTTTTGGGGGGGGGGGTTTTTTTTAAAAAAAAAGGGAGGGGGGTTTTTTGGGGGGGGGGGAAAAAATTTTTTTAAAAACCCCTTCCCGGGGGGTTTTAAAAAAAAAAAACCCAAAAAAATTTCCTTCCCAAAAAAACCCCCCTTTTTTTTTTTACCCCAAAAAAAGGGGGGATTCCCCTTTTTTCCCCCCGGGGGGGGGAAAAATTTTTAAAATTTTAAAAAACCCAAAAAAAAAAAATTTTAAAAAACCTTTTTTTGGGGGGGGGGGGGGGTTTTTTTTTTTTTTGGGGGGAAAAAATTTGGGGGAAAAAGGGGGGGGGGGGTTTTTTTTTTTGGGGTTTTTTTTTTATTGGAAAAATTTTTTTGGGGGGGGAAAATACCCCCCCCCTTTTTTTTTGGGGGGAAAAAAATTTTTTTTGGGGTTCCCCCCCAATTTTTAAAAAAACCCCCCGGGGGGTTTTTTTTTTAAAAAAAAAAACCCCAAAAAATTTTTTTTAAAACCCCTTTAAAAATTAAACCTTTTTTTGGGGGGGGGGGTTTTTTTTTCCAAAAAAAAAAAATAATTTTTTTGGGGGGGGGGGGGCCCTTTTTTTTTTGGGGGGTTTTTTTTTTCCCAAAATTTTTTTTTTTTTTTAATTTTGGGGGTTTTTTTTTTCCCCCCAAAAAAATTTTTTCCCCCCAACCCCCCCTTTTTCCCCAAAAGGGGGTTTTAAAAAAAAATTTTTTGGGGGGGAATTTTGGGGGAAACCCCGGAAAGGTTTTTTGGGGGGGGGCCGGGGCCCCCGGGGCCCCGGGGGGGGGAAAATTTAAAAGGGGGGGGCCCCCCGGGGGGAAAAAAGGGGGGGGGGGAAAAATTTTTTGGGGGGGGGTTTTTTTGGGGGTTTTTGGGTTTTTTTGGGGGTTTTTTTTGGGGGGTGGGAAAAAATTTTTTTTTTTTCCCCTTAAACCCCCTTTTTTTTATTTTTTTTTAGCCCCAAAAAAAAATTTTTTTTTTTTTCCCCTTTTTTTTTTGGCCCCCCCTAAATTTTTTTAAAAAAAAATTTTTTTTTTTCCCCCCCTTTTCCCCCCCTTTTTTTTTTCCCCCCCTTTTTCCCCCCTTTTTTTTCCCCCCCTTTTAAAACCCCCCCCCCAGGGTTTGGGGTTTGGAAAAAAATTTTTGGTTTTGGGGGCCCCCCCCCCCCCCTTTTTTTTTTAAAAAAAAAAAATTTTTGGAGTGGTGGGAGGAAACCGGAGTACCCGGAGGAAACCCACGCAGGCACAGGGAGAACATGCAAACTCCAGGCAGGTGGTGCCGTGGCTGGGATTCGAACCAACGACCCGAGGACTGCCAGGCGGAAGTGCTAACCATTTAGCCACTGTGCTGCCCTGTTCTTTTCACGCGTGTTGTGTGTGTGTGTTGCGCATGTGTGTTGTTGTGTGTGTTGCGTGTGTTGTGTGTGTGTGTGTGTGTGTGTTGCGTGTGTGATTTAATTTTTTTTTTTTTTATGCATAAAATAAAGCAATTCAAAACTGTGTGTCTATGCTTACTTTTCTGTGCAACACAAGGGTTAGAGTTGGCCTTTCTTGGTTGGTTGCAGTTTCCTCCGTCTGGATAGTGTCTGAGTTAGTGGCCCTTTCCTATTGGTTCCCTGCTCATAAGGACGAAATAGTGCTTTGTCCTCATCCCTCCTTCCTTTCAAGATGCATTGTCCTGCATGTGTGTTGCCTGTCAACTTCTGTTGCTCAGGAGGTATCTCTCTACAGTAGCAGTTCTCAACCTGTGGGTTGCGACCCCTTTGGGGGTCGAACGACCCTTTCACAGGGGTCGTCTAAGACCATCGGAAAACACATATTTTCAATGGTCTTAGGAACCGAGACACCTCTCCTCTATCCGTCTCCCACATGCAGATCAGACTTTATGAGGTAGTGGTGAGGGCGGCCGGAGGGGGCTCGGCAGGGTGTCCCCCACTCCCGGCTTGCTGCAAGCCTCTCATGCTGAACTAATGCAGGCCATAGACAGGCCGTTCGTCGGCCGATAAACGAAAAATTGGTCGGTGCCATTGCCGATGCTCCCACCAATCGGCCGATATTCATTAGTGGGGCCAGCCCGTCGGCCATTTTTCGCAGATCTTCTCATTTATTGTTATCGGTCATGCTGGAAAATCCACGAAAAACCGCCATTTTTCGTGGATTTTCCAGCATGACCGATAACAATAAATGAGAAGATCTGTGAAAAAATGGCTGACGGGCTGGCCCCACTAACGGCGTGAATATCGGCCGATTTTTCATGCGGACAAAAATTCAGCCAATAAACGTCCGTCTATGGCCTGCATTACACCAGCACACTGACTGGCCCGCTTCCTCTTCCCTGTGCATTATGAGCGGCCGGCCAGGCTGGAGGCTCCTCCCCTGCAAGGGGCGGGTCGGAGGTACCCAGCTGCCGCCCATTGGCTGCCCTTGCACCTGCTGCATGTGTCCCCGGGCGGGCAGCTGCTCACAATAGCTGGATAGATGTGAGCCGGGCCCCCCTTTGTCTCCGGGGAGGGGGGATCTGGTTACCCGCAGAGCGTGTGCCCTACAGCCGCTCACCTCCCACGGAGGCTTCTCCTCACAGCACATGTACGAGGGCTGGCATCGGGGCACACGGCCCGCTAGAGGGAAGTACACAGCGACCAGCAATCCCAAACTTTCTGGGGTCATACAAGGAGCCTCAGGACAGACGACTTGGTGTGGGAGAGGGCTGATATCCCTGGGGGGGAATACTGGCCATACACACTTCAAATGTACTATCAGATCCAATTGGCAATCAGATTAACTTCCGTTCCCATCAAATTCCTTCAGTCGCTTGACCGGGGCACAAAATGATCGACCGTTTTGCAATAATTTTATGGTTGGGGGTCACCACAACATGAGGAACTGTATTAAAGGGTCGCAGCATTAGGAAGGTTGAGAAGCACTGGTCTACACCCTCTACACCCTGATTGTGGTGTGAGCTCATAAAATGTATCTGATTATCACAGTTCCCTTCTGTGGATCCAAATGTATTAAGAGGCCTTGCAAGGGTTGACTTCCATCCAGGGATTCCTATTAGTTTTCCAGACCATCTCTCAGTCTGATTGTGCCGAGGGTCAGGTTCCATCTTTTCCAGTCATCATTCCACCCAATCGGTTATACAGTCATGGCCACAAATATTGTCACCCCCGCATTTCTGTCAGATAACGCACCACTTCGCCCAGAAAACAGTTGCAATTACAAAATGTTTCGGCATTCTCGTGTTTATTTCTTTTGTTTGTATTGCTATGACACAAACAAGTGGAGAAACGACAAGCCAAATCTGACACGTTCCACGCAAAACCCCACACACGCACCACCTCCACACGGCTCACAGAAACAGAGCCAAAGCTGTCAATTTGCTGGAGGTCCCTCTCCTGTCACCATTTTTCTCTTGGTGTCAGGATACCTTGTGAGAAGCAACTCATGCTTATAGTAGAGGAACAAGGCAGCAGACAGAAATGACACTTAGTGCTCTGGATTGAGACAAGTACACACTGTAGAGGGATAGGCTTTCTTCATATTTCATGTCTGAGGTTTACAACCAACCAAACAGTAAAATCAGTCTGTATATGCAGTAAAGCATGCCTATTATACTCACTGTGGAACCTAAGGGGTTAATCATCTGCATTGTGTAAAAAAGCTGTTTGATCTTGTTTTTTCTGATCCTCCCCTCTTCCAGTGTCCCCTTTTTTCTCCTGATGAGACATATCATGTGGAATCACTCTGCACATGCTCAGTTTGTTGTGTATTGCTAGAGAGGTTTTTTTTTTTTCTTGGGAGAGTTCATGTGATCAGTACAAACCCAATCATCACTATCCAGACAGAGGTCAGGGGTTCTGCATCCTCCTAGAGCAGAATGAAAACTCTTCCTACTAGCTCTAACATGTGCTCTACTGGACACTGATAAAAGTCACAAGACTGCTCTAACTGCTGATGAGAAAAGGTATTTAGCAGTTGCTATTTTTTTTAGTAAATATAATTTCCATGTTCTGTGTACTCTGGGAAAGTAGATACAGTGACTGCAGGGTCCAGGGAGACCAGATATAGTGAATGCAGGGTCCAGGGAGACCAAATATAGGGAATGCAGGGTCCGGGGAGAGCGGATATAGTGAATGCAGGGTCCGGGGAGAGCGGATATAGTGAATGCAGGGTCCGGGGAGAGCGGATATAGTGAATGCAGGGTCCGGGGAGAGCGGATATAGTGAATGCAGGGTCCGGGGAGACCTGATATAGTGAATGCAGGGTCCGGGGAGACCGGATATATGAATGCAGGGTCCGGGGAGACCAGATATAGTGATTGCAGGGTCTGGGGTTTATATAGTGAATGCAGGGTCCGGGGAGAGCCGGATATAGTGAATGCGGGGTCTGGGGAGAGCGGATATAGTGAATGCAGGGTCCGGGGAGACCTGATATAGTGAATGCAGGGTCCGGGGAGACCAGATATAGTGAATGCGGGGTCCGGGGAGACCGGATATAGTGAATGCAGGGTCCGGGGAAACCGGATATAGTGAATGCAGGGTCCTGGGAGACCAGATATAGTGAATGCAGGGTCCGGGGAGACCAGATATAGTGAATGCAGGGTCCGGGGAGACCGATATAGTGAATGCAGGGTCCGGGGAGACCAGATATAGTGAATGCAGGGTCCGGGGAGACCAGATATAGTGAATGCAGGGTCCGGGGAGACCAGATATAGTGAATGCAGGGTCCGGGGAGACCGATATAGTGAATGCAGGGTCCGGGGAGAGCGATATAGTGAATGCAGGGTCCGGGGAGACCAGATATAGTGAATGCAGGGGACCGGGGAGAGCGGATATAGTGAACGCAGGGTATAGTGAGACCGGATATGCGGGGGTCCGGGGAGACCAGATATGGGGAACGCAGGGTCCTGGGAGACCAGATATAGTGAATGCAGGGTCCGGGGGAGACCAGATATAGTGAATGCAGGGTCCGGGGAGATATAGTGAATGCAGGGTCCGGGGAGAGCGGATATAGTGAATGCAGGGTCCGGGGAGACCGGATATAGTGAATGCAGGGTCCGGGGAGACCGGATATAGTGAATGCAGGGTCCGGGGAGACCGGATATAGTGAATGCAGGGTCTGGGGGAGACGGATATAGTGAATGCAGGGTCCGGGGGAGACCAGATATAGTGAATGCAGGGTCCGGGGAGACCAGATATAGTGAATGCAGGGTCCTGGGGGACCAGATATAGTGAATGCAGGGTCCAGGGAGACCAGATATAGTGACTGCAGGGTCCGGGGAGAGCGGATATAGTGACTGCAGGGTCCGGGGAGAGCGGATATAGTGACTGCAGGGTCCTGGGGAGAGCAGATATAGTGACTGCAGGGTCCTGGGAGAGCGGATATAGTGACTGCAGGGTCCTGGGGAGAGCAGATATAGTGACTGCAGGGTCTGGTGTTTTGTAACACTTTAAGGGCATGAGGAATATATAAAATATGATTTACTCACAGTAAAGGGCTGTAGATCTTCCACCCTACTGTCCTTCCTTGTGGTCATTCTACAAATGGCACTTTATCAAATTCTTCTTTGTTCTGTTTTTACATTTATGTCAGGAACAATTGAGTCCTGTCCGTGATACTTTTTTTATTTGCACTAACATACGATTTTGAGGACAAGCTTTCTGGGAATGTCCCCTTCTTCAGGTCTAAGCAGTACTGAAATAACATTTATAAGTGATACTCATGTCTAATTCATCCTTTGTTTTCAGCCTGAACTACTTAGATGAGACCTGTAAGCAGTGCATCCTTTCAGATCAGGAGTACGGTGATGAGGCCAGTGAAATGTTCGCTCCCCTTCACGCCTACAAGAAATCTCTCAGTACAGACAGTGAACCAGGAACCACCACACCCAGCCACGCCAGAAGCCGTCGAGGAAAGGACAGGAGGACAGCCAGAATGCCTTTGGTTTCACCACATAAAAAGAAGAGGAGAGCCGACCAGGGTAAGACAAATTACAGGTTATATAGAAGTTTAAATAAAATGGCAAACTAGTGCCTGTTTGTTGAATGATGTGAATATGAAAGTCTCAGCTGAAAACGTCTGTCTATTGTTAAGATGCTACAGTGATTAAAGCGATTCTAAAGGTCCATTTATTTTTTTTTGTAAAATAACAAACATGCCTATACGTACACTGTTTGTGTTGTAGCTTTGCACAGAGCAGCCTGGATCCTCCTTTTCTCGGGTCCCCTGCAGGCTCTCCTGGTTCCTCCAAACCGCTTGCTATGGGGCACCCGCTGCTCCGTGTGTCCATACACACATGGAACTATGGCTTGGTCTCATCCCCCTCTTTCCTCATTGCCTGGCTGGCTATGATTGACAGCAGAGGGAGCCAATGGCTCCCACTTGCTGTCCCAGCCAATGAGGAGGCAGAGACCCGGGACAGCCGAGGCTGTCATGCACATTGCTGGCTGTCAATGAGGCTCAGGTAAGTCTTGAGGGGGCTGGGGGCACTGCTGCACACAAAAGGTTTTTTACCTTCATGCATAGAATGTATGAAGGTAAAAAACCTTGAGCCTTTACAACCGCTTTAATTAATCTAAGTCACAACAATAGAAGAACACAGTCTGCTGAACATAATACTACACAAACATTAGATGTTGCCATGGTTTAATTGCACATAACATGTAAACATTCACAGTGCAGGAGGAAAAAGTATGTGAGGCCCTAGCTTAATGATTTCTCCCAAGATAATCGGAGCCAGGAGTGAGCAAACTCCAATTAGATGATATTGGATGTGTTTAGCTGACATGGCCCTTAAAAAAACACACACCTGTTTTGGGTTTATGGTTGACATGAAACCATGCCTCGCAGAAAAGAGCTGTCAGATAACCTACATCAAGTTGTTTGACAGAAGCTGGAAAGACAAAAGTATCTCCAAAAGCCTTGATGTTCATGTGTCCACGGTAAGACCGACTGTCTACAAATGGAGAAAGTTTAGCACTGTTGCTACCTAGGCGCGGTCGTCCTTAAAAATGACTGCAAGAGCACAGCGCAAAATGCTGCATGAGGTAAAGAAGAATCCCAGAGTGTCAGCTAAAGACCTGCAGAAATCTCTGGCACCCTAACCTTTTTGCTGACACATCTAATAATAAGGAAAACATTAAACAAGAATGGAGTACATGGGAGGACACCACGGAGGAAGCCATTTATCCAAAAAGAGAATATTGCAGCACGTTTGAGTTTGCAAAAGAGCACCTGGATGTTCCACAGCACTACTGGCAAAATATACTGCGGACAGATGAAACCAAGATTGAGTTGTTTGGGAAGAACACACAACAGTGTGGAGAAAAAAAGGCGCACACCAACATCAAAACCTCTGGAGTATGGTTTGGGGGCTGCTTTGCTGCCTCAGGGCCTGGACGGATTGTTGTCATTGATGGGAAAATGACTTCCAGAGTTTATCAAGACATTTTCCAGGAAAACGTACGACCATCGTCCTCCAACTGAAGCTCCACAGAGGATGGGTGATGCAACAGGACAATGACCCAAAGCATACAAGTAATTCAACAAAACAATGGCTGCAACAGCACAGAATACGCCTTCTGGAGTGGCCCAGTCAGAGTCCTGACCTCTGAAATGCTGTGGCATGACCTTAAGAGAGCGATTCACACCAGACTCCAGAAGCTACACTGAAACAGTTTTGTTGGTCCAAAATGACTGATGTTGCAGCTGATTGCAACTACAGTTTTGTTGCTGCCAAAGGAGGGTCAACCAGTTATTAAGTCAAAAGGTTCACATACTTTTTCCTCCCTGCACTGTGAATGTTTACATGTTATGTGCAATTAAACCATGGCAACATCTAATGTTTGTGTAGTATTATGTTCAGCAGACTGTGTTCTTCTATTGTTGTGACTTAGATGACGTTCAGAGCACATTTTATGCCCAATTCATGCAAAACTCCACTTAATCCCCCATCCTCTGCGGAGCTTCAGTTGGCGGACAGATGGTGGTATGTTTTCCTGCAAAATGTCTTGATAAACTCTGGAATTCATTTTCCCATCAATGACAACAATCCGTCCAGGCCCTGAGGCAGCAAAGCAGCCCCAAACCATGATGCTCCCTCCGCCATGTTTTACAGTGGGGATGAGGTTTTGATGTTGGTGTGCTGGCCTTTTTTTCTCCACACATAGTGTTGTGTGTTCTTCCCAAACAACTCAATCTTGGTTTCATCTGTCCACAGTATATTTTGCCAGTAGTGCTGTGGAACATCCAGGTGCTCTTTTGCAAACTTCAAACGTGCTGCAATATTCTTCTTGGACAGCAATGGCTTCCTCCGTGGTGTCCTCCCATGTACTCCATTCTTGTTTAATGTTTTCCTTATTGTAGATGTGTCAACAAAAATGTTAGCATGTGCCAGAGATTTCTGTAGGTGTTTAGCTGACACTCTGGGATTCTTCTTTACCTCATGCAGCATTCTGCGCTGTGCTCTTGCAGTCATTTTTACAGGACGATCACGCCTAGGGAGAGTAGCAACAGTGCTAAACTTTCTCCATTTGTAGACAGTCTGTCTTACCGTGGACACATGAACATCAAGGCTTTTGGAGATACTTTGTAACCCTTTCCAGCTTCATGCAAGTCAACAATTCTTGATCGTAGGTCTTCTGAGAGCTCTTTTCTGCGAGGCATGGTTCACATCAGACAGTGCTTCTTGAAACCAGTAAACCCAAAACAGGTGTGTGTTTTTTAAGGACAGGACAGCTGTCAGCAACACATCCAATATCGTCACACTGATTGGAGTCAAGGTTGGCTCACTCCTGGCTCCAATTAGCTCTGGGAGAAGTCATTAAGCTAGGGCCTCACATACTTTTTCCTCCCTGCACTGTGAATGTTTACATGTTATGTGCAATTAAACCATGGCAACATCTAATGTTTGTGTAGTATTATGTTCAGCAGACTGTGTTCTTCTATTGTTGTGACTTAGATGACGTTCAGAGCACATTTTATGCCCAATTCATGCAAAACTCCACGTAATCCCAAGGGGTTCACATACTTTTTCTTGCAACTGTAGATGGAATGTAAAACATAAAACACAGTGTTCAGAATGGAGCAGTGTGAAGTATAGATGGGGTCTAGAATGGAATATGTCATGTATAGCACAGCGTACAAGCTGTACCTCCACCATTCTCCCCAATACATACAGCACACCCCTTCATGCACTCCTGTACATCTATCATACCTCGTAGAGCTCCCATCAGTAGATCAGTAGGCTGTTTCTTTCACATGCAAAACTGCACATAGTGGCCGTCATCCTTCATTTTCCTCTGGCTTCTCTGTGACATGAGGCTGTACCTATATCTTGCACACCACTTCCTGCCCTTCCTAATGCTGACCTTATTCACACTGAGCTTTGTCATGTGAGCGGCATGTCCAGTATAAAACATCAATGACTGCCTCATTCTTAATTGTTTTACATAGATCACATTATTATTATTATACAGGATTTATATAGCGCCAACAGTTTGCGCAGCACTTTACAATATAAGGGAGACCGTACAATTACAATATATTTCAGTACAGAAGGAATAGGACGGCCCGGCTCATGGAGCTTACAATCTAAAGGAAGGGGGAGGTGATACAAAAGGTGATCGCTGCAGGAGATGATCCAAGTACAGTTCTTAGGTGGAGGTGGGGTAGGCTTCCCTGAAGAAACGAGTTTTCAAAGATCGCCTAAAGGCAGACAGGGTGGGGGCTGACCGGACATGCTGTGGTAGGGAGTTCCAGAGGATGGGAGAGGCTCTGGAGAAGTCCTGGAGATGAACGTGGTGGAGGAGGTGATGAGGGAGCTAGAGAGGAAGATATCTTGGGAAGAGCGGAGTGGGCGATTTGGGTGGTATCTGCTGGATGAGATTGGCAATGTAGCTAGGGGCAGTGTTGTGGATGGCTTTGTAAGCTGTGGTTAGTATGTCGAATTTTATATGTTGGATTAGTGGAAGCCAGTGGAGGGATTGGCAGAGAGGGGCAGCAGTCGCTGATCGGTTGGTAAGGTGTATGAGTCTAGCAGCAGCATTCCTAATAGACTGAAGGGGGGATAGCCTGTGTAACGGTAGACCAGTGAGGAGGGAGTTGCAGTAATCAAGGCTGGATATAACCAAGGTGCAGATAAGTTGTTTTGTGGTGTCATTGGTCAGGAAGGGGCGGATTTTGGAAATGTTCCGGAGGTTGAGGCGGCAGGATTTAGCCAGTGAGTGGATGTGGGGCCCAAAGGAGAGGTCAGAGTCTTGGATTACACCTAGCACCCTGGCATGAGGGGAAGGACCAATGGTTGTGCTGTTGATCTTACTGGTTAATTCATGAGTGGGGGATCAGGGGGGAGGTAATATTACAAGCTCGGTTTGGAAAGATACGTAAGGAGATTGAGGGGGTGAGCTGGGGAGTGGAGAGATAGATCTGGGTGTCATCATCAATGAGGTGGTATTGGAATCCATGGGAGGTTATGAGTTGGCCCAGGGAGGAGGTATAGAGAGAGAAAAGGAGGGGCCCAAGGACAGAACCTTGGGGTACCCCAACAGAAAGAGGGAGCGGAGGAGGAGGAGTTGTATGTGACACTGAAAGTGCGCTGAGAAAGGTAAGAGGAGAACCAGGAGAGAGCAGAGTCCTGGAGTGGAGTTTACTGAGGAGCGGGTGGTCGACTGTGTCAAAGGCAGCGGAAAGGTCGAGGAGTAGGAGTATGAGTATGGAGTAATGGCCGTTGGTTTTAGCAGTTAGTAGGTCATTAGTGAGTTTTAGTAGGGCAGTTTCTGTGGAATGTTGTGGGCGGAGCCCAGACTGTTGAGGATCAAGAAGGTTGTTGTCGGTGAGGTAGCAGTTCATACGGTTGTGAACAAGGCGTTCGAGAAGCTTGGAGGCAAACAGGAGCAGGGAGATGGGTCTTAAGTTATTCAAACAGGTGGGGTCCAGCGAGGGTTTTTTTGAGAATGGGGTTAACTAGTGCATATTTGAGCGGGGAGGGAAAGGTGCCCATGGAGAGTGAGAGGTTGAAGATGTGGGTTAGAGAGTTTAGGATAGAGCAGGAAGGAGGCCGCAACAGTCGTGAGGGGACAGGATCCAGGGGACAGGTGGTGAAGTGGGCCTTGGAAAGGAGTTCGGTAACTTCCTTGGTGGTAACAGGGTCGAAGGAGGAGAGTGTTGAGTTTGGAGTTGGGCCTGAAATGTTGGTTAGAGGAGGAAGCTTGACACTGGAGATCTCATCACGAATTGTGTCGATCTTCTTCTTGAAGTGACTGGCAATCTCCTGTGCAGTAAGTTGGTGGGTGGAGGCAGTGGGGGGGTGGAGTAAGGAATTAAGGGTAGAGAAGAGTTGACGAGGATTGGATGAGAGGGTCTTGACGAGAGTGTTATAGTAGGTTTGCTTAGCAGCGTGGAGGCTGGAGTTGTATTTAAGAAGAGCGGATTTGTAGAGGGTAAAGTCTTTCAGGGATTTAGTTTTACGCCATGCTCGCTCAAGAGTGCGGCTTCGTCTCTTGAGACTTCTGGTGTCATCTGTTTGCCAGGGTTGAGACAGGTGAGGCCTGGTTCTGTGTGTAGAAAGAGGAGCAAGGGCGTCCAGGGAGGATGATAGATAGTTGTTGTAGGCAGATGTGGCCAGCTCTGGGCAGGACAGGGGTGCAATTTCATCATAGAGGCGCTCAGTAGCGGAGTGATGAAGGTCAGGGCTGAGGTGATGGAGGTTTCTACAGGTAACGGTTTGCTGGTTGGAGGCATGGGAGGTAGGAGGCAGGGAGAGTGTGAAGCTGATAAAGTTGTGATCAGAGAGAGGAAAAGGGGTGTTAGAGAGGTTACAGGGAGTGCAGAGGTGGGTGAATACAAGGTCAAGGGTGTTGCCATTGGAGTGGGTGGTGGATTGTGACTATTGTGTTAGGTTAAAAGAGGAAGTTAGGTTGAGTAGTTGAGAGGTGGCAGGGGTGTGAACATTGACTGGGATGTTAAAGTCACCGAGGATAATGACAGGCACCTCAGAGGAGAGAAAGTATGGTAGCCATGCTGAAAAGTCACAGAGAAAGCGTGAAACTGGGCCCGGGGGCTGGTAGATGACTGCAATCCTCAGATAAACAGGAGAAAAGAGACAAATACAGTGCAGTACAAAAGAGCGGAGGGACAGAGACGGAGGGGCAGGAAGAATCTGGAACGTGCTTTGTGGGAAAAGAAGAAGTTCGACTCAGTCTCCTTTTCGTCCGCTGGGTCTAGGTGAGCGAGTCCAGAGGAGGCCGCCATGGGAGAGTGCAGCTGAGGAGACAGAGTCAGAATCCTGGGGGCCAGGTTTCAGTAATAGCAAGAAGGTTGAGGGAGTGGGAGAGGAAGAGGTCATTCATAGAGAGTTTGTTAGAGGCTGAGCGGGCATTCCAGAGGGCACATAGGAGGGAGGGGTTGGTGCGTGGAAGCAGGGGGATTGAGATGAGAGTGAGGGTTGCGGAAGCGGCCAGAGAGGGGAGGCTGCTGCTTCTGTGGGTTTGGAGTTTGATGGTGGAGGGCCAGGGTTTGGGGCAATGTCTCCAGAAGTTAGTAGTAATAGGAGGGTGAGGGAGTTAAGGTGGGAAAGGTGTTTTGGTGGTAAGGTGTTTAAAGTGCCATGTACTTAGCCTCACACAGAGGTCCTGTACAGCGATCGGTGTTCCACTGTGTCCAGAGGATGTCCGGCACGTATATCTTTTGGCTTGTGCACACGTGCAATGTCTTGTGTTGGATTGCTCTTCAGAGTGCATTTGACAGGCATGAGAAGGTGTTATGTCACCTCTACACCGTCCTATTCTCCCATGTTGGCCAGTAAAGATGAACGTGCACAGCATTGGGTCATTGTGAATGCTATTGTCTGTCTCGCAACAGATTTACAAGATTCCAGCAGTGTTGTGGGTGAAGAGGAGCACAGAGGCGCACCAATACTGACCTCCACAATGGTGCATGAGAGGAGTGAAGCTTCAAGTCCAGCAAGAGGGAAAGAGACTGATGAATCAGACTCGGATTTCGATATGAGGTCAGGAAATCGTTTAATCATTGTCAAATGTATACTCTTTAAAAATCTGTGCCCTTTAATATTATGTATGCCATTTGTATTTTCTTTATACACTCACCGGCCATTTTATTAGATACACCTGTTCAATTGCATGGTAACACAAATTGCTAATCAGCCAATCACATGGCAGCATTTAGGCATCTAGACGTGGTGAAGACAACTTGCTGAAGTTCAAACCAAGCATCAGAATGGAGAAGAAAGAGGATTTAAGTGACATTGAACGTGGCATGGTTGTTGGTGCAAGGCAGGCTGGTCTGAGTTTTTCAAAAACTGCTGATCTACTGGGATTTTCACTCACAACCATCTCTAGAGTTTACAGAGAATGGTCCAAAAAAGAGAAATCATCCAGTGAGCGGCAGTTGTGTGGAGGAAAATGCCTTGTTGATGTCTAAGGTCAGAAGAGAATGGGCAGACTGGTTCAAGATGATAGAAAGGCAACAGTAACTCGTTCAATATGGACCAAAATCTCTGAGGAATGTTTCTGACACCTTGTTGAATCTATGCTGTAACGGAACCGGACGCCGACTTCACTAGGGTATTTCCGTTAGACTCACCGCTTCCCATGTCCGAACACAGATCCACGGACACCCACTCTTGAACGAAACAGCACACTTCATGGTATGTAAGTGTGTATACATCCCCATAGCTGTATATGTGCAGTGTGAGATCTAAGGCACTGCTGCCCCTGACTGCTAGTTTTAGGAGATTGGAGTGAGATTTGGCTCTTTTAATCTCTTGAGATCCAAGCCCTCTGAATACAGAAATGCATGTAGCTTATTAAACCTGTCATGTTATTACTGAGTTTATTGCCTGAGATTTTAAGGATTAGTTGGTGATGCCCTCTTACCCCTTGTGTGCTGTTTGATGTTACTGTACTGTTTCATGTATTGTCCCCCCCTCTATTGTACAGCGCTGAGCAAACCCTTTGGCGCTATATAAACTTGATAAATAAATAAATAAATCTCCTCACTTCCTCTGTCACTGATCCACTGGTCTTTTTAAAATCTGGACCATCACTCCTCCTTGCTGGAGGCTCTGACATAGAAGACAAAAAGCCTTGCCTCTACCAAGATGGCTGCCTCCACATAGAGACACTGCAGTACAAGGGTAAGTCCATGTCCATAATGGGTAAGGGTCAGCTGCGGGAAGATGACAGACAGTACTGGTGACTATTCCTATTTGCCATCTGCATGCATTTTTTAGGCAGAGCTTTCAGAGTTCAGTTCCTCTTTAATTTATTGAGATAATATGATGTGATATACTGGTCTCTTTTGCTTACCTGAAATGCTTCTAGTACAACCAGGCCGCTCACTGAAAACATTCCCTTTTTTAGTGGATCTTTTCAAATCCGTCGTCCTGTCCAGATACCGAGACCCCAAAGAGCATCATCCATGCTGCCCAGCGCCATGCACAGGTGAGATATTTCCCTTTTTTACCACGGCAGGGTGAAAGCTGAAAGACAAATTGTTGGAGCTCTACGCTAAGTGTATTTCTGAGTACCAAGAAAACAAACAGAAAGCGCATTGATTGGCCTAGTGCATTACCTTAAATGACATTTATTGAAAAAGATGATAGATAATATACTCACAAAAGACGAAAATGTAAAAGCTCATCATATAGAACAGCACTGTCCAGTCCGCATGGTGTGGCTATCCACATAGGAACATTGGACCTCCAACAAGTCCTATTTTGACAAATCAGTCTGCATAGATTGGCATACGAGGGATATCATTTCCCAGTCTGAGGCAGACACTACACCAACCAATACCTTCTCTATAACCGGAGACTGCACTTCAATGTGGAGGAATATTGCCTGAACTCTCATTGGATGAGATGGTCCATAAAGACTAACCATGTGGTTCTATGTACTGCCAGCATATGCGATTGAGTGCTGGGTTATGTATCCACTATTGGCCATTTGAAATGTGCACCCCCATGATTTCAGTGTTTGTATGCAAGTAACTCTTCATTGCTACTGTATATGCAATAAGGATTACAGCTACCTATTTATTCAGCGTTAGCTTCACTTTGTTTTAGAGGTATTGTTAATATGAGATATCCCAGGATACACTAGGAAACCAGTAAGTGTGCCAGGAAGACGTCATCAGCAGTCACTTCCGGTTCACGTGTATATATTCTGGAAGTGTCTGGTGCAGACGTGACATCTAGTGTGCAGGGAGGAGCAGCAGGAAGGTGAGCGGGGTCTGGACCAGAGCAGAGCAATTAGCAGACGGGAAACGTGGTGTGCAACACAGGAACGTTCTAGTGGAAGGTGAGCAGGGACCAGAGAGATAGGACTGAGCGGCAGAGGATCAGCAGAGCTGAGCAGGAGCAACTAGCAATGACACATGGTGAACAATGTGGAATTGGCAAACCAGAGATCAGCAGAGCTGGGAGACCGGAGCAGGAGCAACTAGCAATGTCACACATGGTGAACAATGTGGAATTGGCAAACCAGAGGATCAGCAGCTGGGGGGTTACTACTGAGTGGGGGATCAGCAGAGCTGGGGGGAGTGGGGGATCAGCAGAACTGGGGGGTACTACTGAGTGGGGGATCAGCAGAGCTGGGGGGTTACTACTGAGTGGGGGATCAGCAGAGCTGGGGGGTTACTACTGAGTGGGGGATCAGCAGAACTGGGGGGTTACTACTGAGTGGGGGATCAGCAGAACTGGGGGTTACTACTGAGTGGGGGATCAGCAGAGCTGTGGGGTTACTACTGAGTGGGGGATCAGGGTTACTACTGAGTGGGGGATCAGCAGAGCTGGGGGGTTTACTACTGAGTGGGGGGGATCAGCAGAGCTGGGGGGTTACTACTGAGTGGGGGATCAGCAGAGCTGTAGGGTTACTACTGGGTGGGGGATCTTACTACTGAGTGGGGGATCAGCAGAGCTGGGGGGTTACTACTGAGTGGGGGATCAGCAGAGCTGGGGGGTTACTACTGAAGTGGGGGTTACTAAGTGAGGGATCAGCAGAGCTGGGGGTTTACTAAATGAGGGATCAGCAGAGCTGGGGGTTACTAAGTGGGGGATCAGCAGAGCTGGGGGTTACTATTGAATTGGGGATCAGGACGAAGCAATTGTAAATAAGGCCCTTTTTCAGGATTCCATACCTACTTCGGCAACAGTCCAATAGCTGTTTGAAAGTTTGCAAATCTTCGGTCCCTTTCACATGGGTGGACTCCTCCAAGCAGATGACAGGTCCGGTCCATTCCTCTTGTGCAGAGCAGACACGGGACACAACCCCCTGTTCTCTATGGGGCAGTTGGATGTAAACGGACTGCCTGCCAGTTACATCCGACTGTCACCTGATTCCATCCGCTAGACCACGGTTGTCAAATTGGCGGCCCTCCAGCTGTTGCCAAACTACAAGTCCCATGAGGCACTGCAAGATTGACAGATACAAGCATGACTCCCACAGCCAGGGCATGATGGGACTTGTAGTTTCCCAACAGCTGGAGGGCCTCCAGTTTGACACCCCTGCGTTAGACGGATGGGGAACAGATCCCTCATCTGTTTTTTTCGGATCAGATGCAGGCGGGTGTAAGCAGACACATGCCAGTATACATCCGCCTCCTTATAGAGAACAATAGATGGTCCAATCAGGTCTGCCTGAAAAACTGGCAGATGGACCTGATTGGTCTGCCTGTGTAAAAGGGGCCTAAGTTTACAGTTTTGTATCAGGACTGGTATCAATTTAGTTGGAGACACTTCTAAGATAATGCAGAAATCATTGACAGGTGCACTTGACCTGCAGATGACCACCTTCTGACTTTTCATTAACTTGTAAGGGAATGCAAATCCCGCTTAAAGCAAACAAAAGTTGTCAACACGGGCCCATAAGGGGGTCTGCAGTAGGGCCCCCCACAAAAACACACACCTACAAGGTACAGGTCGTGTGCCCTAGTGCAGGAGGATGATAGAATAGTAGGTATATTTATACGGTGTGGGGGTCAATGTTAAATATGTGAAACAATAGTTACTTGTATATGAATTGTAAAGTATATGTAAAGCCAGACCTTTTCTTCTTTACATTTTTGAATAAAGTGGTGAAGGGTTAGAACCCCTGTCTAGTTTTTATTTCTCTCTCTGCCCCTGTGAGGGAGATTTACTCTTTTAATTTTTTAATTGTCATTTGTGACCACTGATGAGCACTAAACGTGGGGGAATCCAGAATTTTGACTTGTCACTAGAGCAGGAAGAAAGGGGAGATCTTTCAGCGGTGATGCTATTCCAGCTGGCCAAACACTGCTCGAATTTCAGCCGATTTTCCTGCTGGATCAGCCTAAATTTGAGCTGTGGGTGGCCCTGTATACTTTCAGTCAACTTTTTTTTTGAAGGTGCCAGTCCAGAAACCTTGGCCAAACAGCACTTGCAATTCAATCTGAAGCAGCAGCTGATATTCCTTCATCCTTGCTGTTTAGAGCATGGATGGGGGAAGTCATGTGCTTCTCTCTTTCTGCCAATAGGGCTGGACAGGAGACCTGCAGAGTGTGTATGGCCAGCTTAAAGTGGTTCTAAAGGCTCAAGGTTTTTTTTTTTTGTTTTGTTTTTTTTTTACCTTCATGCATTCTATACATTTAAATGACCCCCCTTTTGATCCCATGATGTCCACGAGAGCTTCGGCTCTCTGGGGACTCTCACTTCTGATTGGCTGAGGCAGCAGAGGGAACCATTGGCTCCCACTGCTGTCAATCACAACCAGTGAGCCAATCAGGAGAGGAAGGGGGTGAGGCCGAGGTGTGCGGCTCTGTGTGTGAGTGGGCATGCAGAGCCGCGGCTTGGGAGCACGCATGTTCAGGGGTGCCTCCATAGCAAGCGGTTTGCTATGGGGGCACCAGACAGGAGGGCGGGACCAGGAGCACCAGCAGGGGTCCTGAGAAGAGGAGGATCCAGGCTGGATCCTCCGGGGATAAACCATTACACAGAGTAGGCACCTTCTGTGTGTAGCAGCCCCCCTAACATTTAAATGAGCCCCCTTTTGATCTTGTGATGTCCACGAGAGCCTCAGCTCTCTGGGGACTCTCACTCCTGATTGGCTGAGGCAGCAGAGGGAGCCATTGGCTCCTGCTGCTGTCAATCACAGCCAGTGAGCCAATCAGGAGAGGAAGGGGGTGAGGCCGAGGTGCGGCTCTGTGTGTGAGTGGGCATGCAGAGCCGCGGCTTGGGAGTACGCCTGCTCAGGGGTGACTCCATAGCTAGCGGTTTGCTATGGGGGCACCAGAAAAAAAGGAGATGCCAGGAGCGCTGTCGGGGGTCCTGAGAAGAGGATCTAGGCTGGATGGGAAAACCATTACACAGAGTACGGAAGTATGACATGTCTGTCAAAAAAAAAGAAAAAAAAAAACAAGACTTTAGTATCACTTTTAGAGGACAATACCGGTAACTAATAACACCGCATTTCTTTTACTTGGAGAGTTTTCCTTTCACTCTCTCTTTTGTCTACAGGACAGACAATGAAGGGAAATCTCCCCCTCTATTCCCTACTTCATCCAGAATGAAAATAATGTTTTGGCTTTTGGCATACTTGAATGTGAGCACGCTCATTCAGTAGCAATGATACATGTGGATGGAACACTCAGGTCCTGTAGATGCTATGGGCTAATTCTGTATACTTGTTGGCCAGAACAAAGGTCTTCCTCTCTGTCTTATTAAAGTGGAACTTTAGGTTGGGATTTAAAAATTGGTGGAGAGGCAGGACGTTTATTGCAGAACAGGCATGCTTTGGTGTCTCTCTCTACATTAAAATGTCTTACCTGCCTGTCCATCCCTGTACAGTAAGCTGCGCACCAGGGGCGGACTGACCATTTGGAAACTTGGGCACTGCCCGAGGGCCCGGGGTCAGCAGGGGGCCCCATGAGATGCCCCTGGTACCTTTTTGATAGGCTTTTTTGAGTTTGGGCAAGGACACAGGGGCCCCATGATCCCCTATTGCCCGGGGGCCCCATGAGTTGTCAGTCCGCCCCTGCTGTGCACTGCACAAATTTGGCAATGCCGAATCTGATGGAGTTCCCACGCATGCGCTGGAGTGACGTCATCTCCATCTGGCCAATGACAGCGGCTGGCGATTGGGACCCAGAGAATCTGGTGGCCCAAAGATGTCAGCAGGGAGCTCTGGGGATGGTGCATCGCTGGATTCTAGGTGTGTATAGTTCCATTTTAAAGTGGAGCTACACTGCATCCAAGCACCAGAAACTGTTTTTTAAATCATTTTTAATATGTAAAGCAAACCCCCCCCCCCATCCATCCATGGGGTTGATTTACAATAGAAGGCAAACAGACTGTGCACTGTGCAAGTGGAGCTGATCCATATCTCACTAAATGAAGCAAAGCTATACTTTGCAAAGAATACCCAATCACATGCAAGGGAAAAAAAAAAAAGAAAATTTGCATTTTTGCTTGAAAATGATTAGATGATGAAAGTCAGCAGAGCTTCTCATCATTTACTAAGCTCTGGAGCAACAGCTCTTACAGAGTGCAAGTGCACTTTGGAAAGTGCACAGTCTGTTTGCCTTTAGTAAATTGACCCCCATGTCTCCATGTTTTATTTTGCTGAGAAATCACTTTCAAAAACAGCCCCATAGCATTTCTGGCCGTGGCCATCTTGAGTAAGGGCTGACAATTCATCTAGCATTTACTTCCTGGATTCCATCTGCCCTTGGCTCAGGCATGCAGGCAGGAGGGTGCCCTTAGCTGAGAAAACCCCCTCCTTCCGTCCTCATTACTCTTGGGATGTATCATTTGCCTAGGCAGGGAACCAGGAAGTAACTGAAGAAATGTAAAAAAAAAAAAGTTTCAAACAAGTAACTACAGTTAAAGTAACGCAGCGCCGTAAATGAAAAAAAAATGGCCTGGTCATGAAGAAGGGGGGAAATCCTCAGGAGGGCAAGTGGTTAAAGGAGAAGAAAAATAATAAATGCACATTATTTTGCAGGTAAAAAAAAAAATGTGCATTTATTATTGTTTTACACTGCAGCCTGTAAAGCATTGCACCCGCGATCAGGAAATTGTGGTTGCTATGCCAGGATCCTGCAGACTGTCAGTCAGCTGCCTGTACCTCCCGCACAAGCAGACTGTTACTGAAGCCCAGGAAGAATCAATGAATGATGAGAGCGCTCAGCAGCACCCTCGCAGTTCATTGAGAACTACCGAATCGCCTGCTGCTTCAGACTTGAAGTTCAATCATTCAGATTATTTATTATTTCAGGTCCTTATATAGCGCCATCAATTTACGCAGTGCTTTACATATATTGTACAATCTAAGGTCCCTAACTCACATTCATACATACACATATTAGGGCCAATTTAGACAGGAGCCAATTGACCTACCAGCATGTCTTTGGAGTGTGGGAGGAAACCGGAGTGCCCGGAGGAAACCCATGCAGGCACAGGGAGAAACATGCAAACTCCAGGCAGGTGGTACCATGGTTGAGATTCGAACCAACGACCTTAGTACTGCCAGGCAGAAATGCTAACCATTTAGCCACTGTGCTGCCATATGATATACTTTCCTATTTATTTACCAATGCTAGCAGCATAAGGATTAAAATAGTCCATGTTGATTGAGAGAGTGAAGTTACACTTTAAAGTTTGTTAAAGTTAAATTTTGGATAGAGTGGAGATTGATTAGAACCCCTGTCAGATTTTTGTTGCTGCCCCTATAAGGGAGATTCACCCTCTCTAGTTGTCCATTTTACTGATATCACCAAACATAAAGATAAAAGAAAATCCCAAATTTTGGGTTGTCCTCAGAACAGAATAGAGGGGAAATCTTCGAATGGGGACACTAATTCCGGTGTCTTATTTATTTATTTCAGGTACTTATATAGGGCCATCAATTTACACAGCACTTTACATATATATTGTACATTCACATCAGTCCCTAACCCTCAAGGGGCGTACAATCTAAGGTCCCTAACACACATTCATACATACACATAGTAGGGACAATTTAGATAGGAGCCAATTCACCTCCCAGCATGTCTTTGGAATGTGGGAGAAAACCGGAGTACCCGGAGGAAACCCACACAGGCACAGGGAGGGAGAAAGTGCAAACTCCAGGCAGGTGGTGCCGTGGCTGAGATTCGAACCAACAACCCTAGTACTGCCAAGTGGAAGTGCTAACCATTTAGCCACTGTGCTGCCCCAGTCTTTAGTGGCAACCAGGGATTCCCTCACTTCCTGTTTGGTTATAGGACAGGAAGTGAAGAGAAATCGTCCCTATGGGACACAGATTGCAAAAAGAACAGACGTAGGTGATAACCCATCCTAACTGTACCCAAAATGGGGGAAAAAACGTTTTGCCTTCAGTTCTACTTAAAGGCAAAACAATATCTGTATACAAATACTGATAACTAATCAAACTCTGTTCCTCCACTTACATTAATAGTATATGACAAAATACACAAATCACCTTTCTTTTCTTTTTTTTTTTTTCGGGATCCCACAGTCTCAGCCTGATGGAAGAGGATGAACAGATGGTGATAGAAGATGTACAGAGTAGTGCCGAGTCAGCAGCTGGAGATGTGAGGAATATAGTATCTTTGTTCCATATGTGCGACTTCCTGCCTCTTATAATCCTATATATGTAACCTTCTTTGTATATTATTATTATTATACAGGATTTATATATTATTATTATTATACAGGATTTATATATTATTATTATTATACAGGATTTATATATTATTATTATTATTATACAGGATTTATATATTATTATTATACAGGATTTATATATTATTATTATACAGGATTTATATATTATTGTACAGGATTTATATATTATTATTATACAGGATTTATATATTATTATTATTATACAGGATTTATATATTATTATTATACAGGATTTATATATTATTATTATTATTATACAGGATTTATATATTATTATTATTATACAGGATTTATTATTATTATTATACAGGATTTATATATTATTATTATTATTATTATTATACAGGATTTATATATTATTATTATACAGGATTTATATATTATTATTATTATACAGGATTTATATATTATTATTATACAGGATTTATATATTATTATTATTATACAGGATTTATATATTATTATTATACAGGATTTATTATTATTATTATACAGGATTTATATATTATATTATTATTATTATTATTATACAGGATTTATATATTATTATTATTATACAGGATTTATATATTATTATTATACAGGATTTATATATTATTATTATTATACAGGATTTATATATTATTATTATTATATTATACAGGATTTATTATTATTATTATTATTATTATACAGGATTTATATATTATTTATTATACAGGATTTATATATTATTTATTATTATAACAGGATTTATTTATATTATTATTATTATACAGGATTTATATATTATTATTATTATTATACAGGATTTATATCGCGCCAACAGTTTGCTCAGCACTTTACAATATAATGGGGGGCAATACAGCAACAATACAAGAGGGTTAGGAGGGCCCTGATCCTGGGAACTTACAATCTAGAAGGGAGGGGCTAGTGGTACAAAAGGTAGATATACAGATATAACTTAGCTTGGGTTACATTAAGCCTCACTTTGGGTAGGTACAAAAGTCAAAGTTTAACTCTGGTGGGGATAGATTTTCACACTGTACAGAGCTTTATAACTCTAGAAAACAGGTACACTATATTGCCAAAAGTATTGGGCCTCCTGCCTTTCCCCACACATGAACTTTAATGGCCCCCCAGCCTTAGTCCCGTAGGGTTCAATATAGAGTTGGCCCCGCCCTTTGCAGCTATAACAGCTTCAACTCTTCTGGGAAGGCCGTCCACAAGGTTTAGGAGGGTGTCTATGGGAAGGTTGGACCATTCTTCCAGAAGCACATTTGTCAGGTCAGGCACTGATGTCGGGGGGAGGAGGCCTGGCTTGCAGTCCTCGCTCTAATTCATCCCAAAGAAGTTCTATGGGGTTGAGGTCAGGACTCTGTGCAGGCCAGTCAAGTTCCTCCACCCCAAACTGGCTCCTCCATGTCTTTATGGACCTTGCTTTGTGCACTGGTGTGCAGTCATGTTGGAACAGGAAGGGGCCATCCCCAAACTCCTCCCACAAAATTGGGAGCATGAAATTGTCCAAATGTCTTGGTATGCTGACGCCTTAAGAGTTCCCTTCACCGGAACTAGGGGGCCAAGCCCAACCCTGAAAAACAACCCCACACCATAATCCCGCCCTCCACCAAACTTTACACTAGGCACAATGCAGTCAGGCAAGTACCGTTCTCCTGGCAACTGCCAAACCAAGATTTGTCCATCGGATTTCCAGACAGAGAAGCGTGATTGGTCACTCCAGAGAACACGTCTCCGCTGCTCTAGAGTCCAGTGGTGGCGTGCTTTACACCACAGCATCCGACACTTTGCATTGCACTTGGTGATGTAAGGCTTGGATGCAGCTGCTCATCCATGGAAACCCATTCCATGAAGCTCTCTACACACTGTTGTTGGGCTCATCTGAAGGTCACATGAAGTTTGGATGTCTTTAGCTATTGACTCTGCAGACAGTTGGCGACTTCTGCGCACTGTGCGCTTCAGCATACGCTGACCCCGCTCTGTCATGTGACGTGGCGTACCACTTGGTAGCTGAGTTGCTGTTGTTCCCAGTTGCTTCCACTTTGTCATAATCCCACTAACAGCTGACCGTGGAATATTTAGTAGCCAGGAAATGTCACGGATGGACTTATTGCACAGGTGACAACCTATCACGGGACCACGCTTGGAGCCACTGAGCTCCTGAGAGTGACCCATTCTTTCACCAATGTTTGTAGAAGCAGTCTGCATGCCTAGGGGCTTGATTGTATACACCTGTGTCCATGGAGGGGATTGGAACATCTGAATCCAATTATTTGGAGGCGGGCCCAATACTTTTGGCAATATAGTGTATTGCAGGCCATAGACGGGGAGAAAAACGGCAGATTTTTCTTTTAAAAAACGAAAAAAATCGGTCGTTCAAGCGGCCGACGTTACCATCAATGGTAAAAAAAATTGGCCGATTTTCATCCTGTCTACAGCCGGCAAAAAGTGTCCCTGCAGAGAGCTCTGCTATTTCTTTGACAGTTCCTTGACATTTACAGAGGTTGCAACAATGTATCTATTTGTATCCATTTAGGATACAGATGTTTTTATTCGGAAACAAATAGATACAATGTTGCAACCGCTGTAAATGTCAAAGAACTGTCAAAGAAATACCAGAGCTCTCTGCAGGGACACTTTTTGCCGTACTGGAATTCCTCTAATTTTTCATCCTTCTTCTTCTTCTCCTGCTTCATCATCATCCTCTTCATCATCATCATCATCCTCTTCTTCTTCTTCTTCATCATCATCCTCTTCTTTTTCTTCTACTTCCTCTTCACCATCATCCTCTTCTTCTTCTACTTCTTCTTCCTCTTCATCATCATCATCCTCTTCTTCTTCTACTACTTCTTCTTCCTCTTCATCATCATCATCCTCTTCTTCTTCTACTTCTTCTTCCTCTTCATCATCATCATTATCCTCTTCTTCTTCTTCCTCATCATCATCCTCTTCTTCTACTTCCTCTTCATCATCATCATCCTCTTCTTCTTCTTCTACTTGTGCTTCCTCTTCTTCATCATCATCCTCTTCTTCTTCTTCATCATCATCATCCTCTTCTTCTTCTTCTACTTCTTCTTCCTCTTCATCATCATCCTCTTCTTCTTCTACTACTATTCTTCTTCCTCTTCATCATCATCATCCTCTTCTACTTCTTCTTCCTCTTCATCATCATCATCCTCTTCTACTTCTTCCTCTTCATCATCCTCTTCTTCTTCTTCTACTTCTTCTTCCTCTTCATCATCCTCTTCTTCTTCTTCTACTTCTTCTTCCTCTTCATCATCCTCTTCTTCTTCTTCTACTTCTGCTTCCTCTTCATCATCATCATCATCCTCTTCTTCTTCTACTACTTCTTCCTCTTCATCATGATCATCCTCTTCTTCTACTTCTTCTTCCTCTTCATCATCATCATCATCCTCTTCTTCTTCTACTTCTTCTTCCTCTTTATCCTCTTCTTCTTCTTCTTCTTTTTCTTCTTTTTGTCTTCCTCTTGCAGGTCACTGCTCATGCGCAGATTTTTTATCGGTAAAAAATCGGCCGATTTGCCCATTATTGCCGCGAAAATCGGCCGATCGGCAAAATCGGCCGATTTTTTTCCAACTTTACCGAAAAAAAAAGTTCAGCAGTGACTGGCCAAACTTTGATCTGTGTGTGGGCCCTTTTTTAAGCATGCATGTTGTGGTTATTTATCTATTGAGAAAAAAAAAAAAACCTGTTGTTTTTTTTTATTTTATCACATTTTAATGATTCTCTTCATTTTTATGGATGATATATGCTGAAAACGCATGCCGTCAGTTGACTTAGATGGATATTAGACCTGAGCTGCAAATTCCCTGTAGTGTAATTAAAGTGGTCCTTCTAATTAAAATGCACCGCCTGCTCCAAATATTCTGCAACACCTCCAGGTGTGAAAGTGCTCACTGAGAAAAAAAAACATATATAGTACTGTAAAAGTTATAGGCAGATGTGAAGAAATGCTTTTTTTTTTTTTTTTTTTTTTTTTTTTTTAAAATCAATTTACAAAATGCATAGAAAGAGAACAATAGAGAAGAAAAGAAGAGAGAACAAGGAAATATCTAAATCAAATCAATATTTGATGTGACTATCCTTTGGCTTCAAACCAACATCGATTCATCATCAATGGACAACGCTGAGGATAGTAGACAGTAGTGGTCGGCCAAGGAAACTTAAGGCACCCAAAAGGGGAAGTTCCACTTTAAGCCTTTGTCCCCGCTCCCCATTAAGGATTGGCACCTTGGGGGGCGGGTACCTGAATTTGACAGGTACCCGCTCCCACTTCAATCGCCTAGGCGATCGGAAGTGGAAGTTGTCCTCCCTCCCTGTAGTCTTCTGGGGACACTTGTGACAGGTCCCAGAAGACTACGGAGCCATTCACAAAGCGCAGCACTTCTCACGCATGCGCAGTGGGCACCTGGCTGTGAAGCTGCAAGCTGTCACAGCCAGGTGCCCACACTGAAGATGCCAGTGCCAGGGAGAGAAGACGAGCCGGTGAGGACACCGCTGGACTGACGGACAGGTAAGTGGCTGTATTTCAGTTTTTGTAGCTGCTGACTTATATTTTTTTTTTTCAGGTGGAACTCCGCTTTAATGTTACTAAACCCCGGACCCTGCATTCACTATATCTGGTCACTCACTATATCAAGTATGACCTTTGCGACCCTGGTAGTTCCACCACTAGTGTCAATATGTTTTGTTTTTTTATTATATTTTTTTATTAATTTTAACTATGCTATTTTATTTAATTACTTTTTTTTTTTCGTTTTACAATTTTTTTAGGAACCTCGCTGAGGGGCTTTAGTGAGATATCAGGGGTGTAAACAGACCTCTGATGTTTCACCTTTGAGACAGACAAAGGAGACTGAGGACACAGCCCCCCATCTCTGTACAGAGC